CCTATGACTCTAGGTTAGATGTGTGTTACTTCTTTTAGGCTTTACTTCTTCCAAGCCACCCAAGATAGCAACTATAGAGTTGTTCAGTAGACTCTTCCCTGCAAATGTGGCTTGTATATGTGCCACATTTGATCCTTCTTCCCTTGCCATTATCTTGGAGACAAATCAGATGGAGAGAAACTTGTTCTTATTGCTTTAAAGATTTTTGGGCCAGGTGCAGTGGCTCACGCCTATAATCCTAGCACTCTGGGAGGCTAAGGTGGGAGGATTGCTTGAGGTCAGGAGTTTGAGACCAGCCTGAGGAAGAGCAAGACCCCATCTTTACTTTAAAAATAGAAAGAATTAGCTGGGCAACTAAAAATAGAAAAAAAATTAGCCGGGTATGGTGGCGTGTGCACCTGTAGTCCCAGGTACTCAGGAAGCTGAAGCAGGAGGATCATTTGAAACCAGGAGTTTGAGGTTGCTGTGAGCTAGGCTGATGCCAAGGCACTCTAGCCCAGGTGACAGAGTGAGACTCTGTCTAAATAAATAAATAAGTAATTTTGGTTTTGCCCCTCAGAATAGCCACCTATTTTTGGAGAATCATGTATTATCAATTTTATTTGGGATTTGCACCTACATTCCCAAAGGCACCCTTCTCATTTGAGATGCTTGCTTTCACTTGTTAGGTGACAAGGAAGAGCTAACTTTCACTCACTTCAGCCTATGGGAGTACTTTCAGGATAGTCTCATGTTCTGCTGATTATCATTGTGCTCACAGTCCTTCCTTATGTTTTGTGATTTTGAGTTACAAATGTTCTCTAGCTTTGTCAAGAAAAAAAATCTGCATTTCTGTTTCTCATTGTTATCACTGTTTGGGAAAATTTTTGAAGAAGAGAAGAAGACAGCATTATTTTTACTCTATTTTAAAATAGGAATCTCCTCAGGTAGGATTTTGAATGTTAGCAATGGAGGAGAGGGAAAAAGGCAGACATTCCAGGTAGAGTGAGATAACTTACCAGGCTATCGTCAGAGCTTTATAGAGTGATTTGGAATTAATAATTAGACTGGTTTAGGCTAGAGTATTGGATAAGGTCAGGGGAAATGTGAGAAATTTACTTGGAAAAGTCAGACGGATGATATTCTGGAAATCCTTCAGTACCAGATTGTGGGGTTTTTACCCAATTCTATAAGCAAAAGAGAGCTTTTGGAAGTTTTTGAGCAAACAGTTAGCAAGGTCATAGACTGTATGTTTCTGTCCAGGAAAAAATAGAGGAAGTGACAGCCCCAGACCCTGCAGTCCCTGAGGCATCAACTATGAACTTCTCTGCAGGTAGGGTCTCCAGGTGCTGTGCTGTGTCCACAGTTCCCCATTGCCTCTGGGGATGTATGTAGTACTCTTGATCAGCTTCTGCTGGCTCAGCTAGGAGACCTGACCAGGTAGAAATTATAATGGCTTCAGCTAAGAACATACTCCGCCGATAGGCTGGGTATGTGTCTATCAGAGGCTGCCATCTCACTGGTCTGGAGACAGAAAAATAAAATCAGCTCACGTTTCTGATATTACTGCCTAGCCAGCTATGCAGTATGACTCCAACCAGGAGGGCTGAAAGATGGAAAAAAGCATCTTGGAAATAATTGTATAGCTTCACAGATCATTAGCAAGCTTGACTTCCCATTACAAACTCCAGAGTTGTAATGAGTTTTATTTTCATTCAATCTTGAACTATCATTTAAAAAAATGTATCTTTCCCTATACTCTTTGTAATCAGACTTATTTCTCTTGAAACCCAAGAACTGAAAGATACCTGAGAAAAGTAACCACTTACAACACAAACTATAAATGAATATAAATACAACCACAGTAAAAGAGAATGTGTGTGTGTGTGTGGGTGTGTGTGTTTGCACCTACCTATCTATCTATACACACATACATGAGGTGGCGTCCTCACCACGTAAATTTTTAGAGATACAGTAGCTGGACATTAGGTCAGTCCCACGCTAGTCATGCCTCTGCTAACCTGCAAGGCTGCTTCCTGGCACTACCTCTACAAACACTTCCCTAGGATAGGAGATTCATAAGAGGTATGTCTGTACAATTTAGCACTTTAGAACCAATTTTACATTTAGCAGTAACCATACAAGGCAAGCTAAGGTGTTCACATAGCCAAATTGGGAATAACCCAACAATAGTCCCACCCCTCAGAACTGACCATTTCCTAACTCTTACCAACCACAGCTAGGATGACTAGGGGTGAGGTCTGCCATGTTTCTTCATCAAATAGCCACTTTGCTAAGCAGTCATTTCACATTTAAAAGATGACCTTCAACCACATCCAATAACAGTGGGCTATGTCCTTAAACCTCATGACTTAGATTTATTAACAAGTTTACATTTCTAGAAACACAAGGGTATAGCCAAATAGCAGAGTGTCCATGTTGCCTTAGCTCTTGGACAAGGAAGTGGCTTTTTTTTTTTTTTTACCATTGAAAGGAATAATGAGAGGTAGATTTAAAGCTGCAATTTAACAGACTATTACAAAAAGCCTACCTAGCTTTCTTATAAGGCAGAACGTGCTTACGTAATAGTTTAAGTATTTTCAGTTAAAAATCTCCACAGGGCAGTGCTATGGTACCTATCATCCATAAAACTTTGGTACTGAAGAGGCAGAAGCTTATCTGTGAGAGTTAGTCCCACTGGCTGACCAGCAGGTTAACACCTCATTAGGGAAAACATATTCTCCAGGGTTTCTTTGGGGAAGCTGACCTCAGAGGCATTGATGATATAGCAGATATCCAGGTATTTTTCCTTGACTGCTCTAAGCAATTCTAGGTGATGCAGCAGTTTTTCAGTTATACACAGGAAAAAAACTAACAAACAGAAGTTGACATTTCAAGGACTTTTATAGCAAAGTAGATAATATCTGGAAAATTTATTGAAGCCATATAAAATATGCATGTTTTAGAATGTTTGACAGGCTATGGTATTACTTCTGGTTAATTACTGAACCTGAAAATATTTATATTTAAAAATTCCCACATAATAAGTGTTGCCCAAAGATTTCAGAAAGTACAAAGGTATGTCTTATTATCTTCTTCATAGTCTGCCGACAAACCAAATTTCTATTACTAGTTATTAGTAATCCTCAATGTTTTACATATTTCATACAACCTGTTTTCTTTCAGGAGGAAAAAAAAATCTGTTCATACATGTGAATTCAGTTTGTAATGCCCTCTTAAAGAAAAGAAGCTGTGCTTCCACGTTTGACTTCCAAGCTCCTAAACTTCTGAAAAACTGGTCTGGAAAGAGGTCGTTACTGATCGTTACTTTGTGGATGTGTGAAAAGTGTAAGTTTTGAGTTGCTCACTGACTTCCATTCCAATGAACTGGCACGTTGAGGGGATTCTGCCTAATCTCTGACTGGGGAACTGCCTGGGGTCAAAGACCCCCCCACCACTAAATATTGTGGGTCCCATCAACTGGGATCACAAGGCAGTTGCAATTTTGCACTGAACAGGATTCTGTTTCTGATTCTGATGTATAGAGTCAATCACCAAGATGCTTAAAGGCCACCTTACCTCAAGTACCAACTGCTGTCTGGGTACTCTGGTCACCTGCCACTTCATGCAAATTAGCATGAAGATGGTTTCAAAGTAAGCCTTTCACATTTTCTGAAAATGTTGAAATTTGCTAAACAAGTTTCCCAACTAATGGAAGTATTTCATTGATAGAAGGTGGAAAACCAAATAACCTAATCTTTGTTGCAGGCTCATCACTGGGTTTAAACCATTCTTAGTTTTGTTTTCTGTTACTTGACGTTAAAAACATTATTGATGGATAAATCACTGCATGCTAAAGCAGTGGTTTTTGAGTTATCAGAAACATTTCAGAAACAATCATTGGAAGTATGAAAACAGATATATTTTAAAATAGGGATAAAATATGTACATATAGCAAGAGATCATGGAAAAGACCTTTAGTACTAAGAGCCACAGACACCATTAAATGCACATTTAGGAAAAAGGGATGAGAAAGTAACAAAATGGAGAAGGGGTGGGTTCGTGGCAGAGGACTACTCTATCAAAACCTTGTTTTCTTTCTGGACACACGACCAAACTACATTTCCCACCTTTCCTTGCAGTTGGTTGAGCCACAAGATCAAGTTCTGGCTCATGGAATGTAAGCGGAAGTGATGATTCCAATTCTGGGCCTGACCCTTAAAACTCCCATGTAGTCTTTGCTCTTTCCCCATCTATTGGCCAAGATTTGAGCAGAATCACAAAATGGAAGGAGCCTGGGTCCCTGAATTACTATGTGGAGTACTCTATGGAGCAGAGCTCCTCCTCAAACCTACTTAGGACTATGAAATAAACAACCTAGTATTGTGTGTAGCCCCTGAGATTGTGGAGTTGTTTATTATAGCAGCAAGCATCATTTAGTCTAACAGAGGTGAGAATGAGGAGAAAAAGAAAAAGAGAAAATAATGAAGGAAAAAATGATGGGTATATGGTATAAATGGTAAGAGTGCCGTGTGGTCCTCTCCACAGATTCCCTAATTCTGACCCAGATAAACTAAACTGTTCCTTTTTATGACAAATATTTGGCATAATTGTCAATATTCAGGATAAATTCTTTCTTTTCTTATTTCCTTCTTTTGCCCCCTCCTAAATCTATTGTGTTTTGAAAGGTTTGATGTTCCTAACTCTTCAGAACATTATGATTTTTAGACTGTGTTTCTGGAGCAATTGGTCCAGAGGAAAGTCTTTTAACATCAAGTTGAATATATTTTAAAACATACTGAAAACAATTTTATTAAATGATTTTGGCATTTTGGAGATACACTCCAAATAAAGTTTTCTGTACGACCAATGAAAACTAACAGTTCAATCTGTATGCCTGTTCAAATAGTGGTACAAAGTTTAAAACCAATTACTCATTCCTTGCCCAGCTTGCCTTGTCCTAACATCTATGATATAGTTATTACTATCAATAAGGGTACAAAGACACATAAACCAATTGATAAATTATATATTACATGTTTATTAAGGGCACAACTTTTATGTAAAATTTACATTTTATGAAAAAAATCAAAAATATTTACAAAATTTTGCAAGATAGATGTGCATTGTTTTAATTACAACCCAAGTAGTAAATAACAATCCTTAAAAACTCACATTTGTTAGAGTTGTGTTTACAAATTCTTCGTTAAAGAGGCAGCCACAAAGTTTATCACTATATATAAGCAAGAACCAGCTTGCTAGATACATTTCCCATTGAATCTACTGGTCTTTCTTACACCATTAGTGGATTTTTAAATGAAAAAAAAAATCAATATAAATTCATATGGCTTCAAAATTGTAACCTGTACTCAATACAAATACAAATTTATATATCAACACTTGGTATGAAGACTGTGGTAATTAAGAAAGTGCAGAAGTTTAACCATTTCACTAATTTGTAGATTTTTAGGTAATACCTGATTAAAAACAAACATGGTGAATATAATAATGTCTGATTTCCAATAATAAAATATTAACTGCTCAATAAAAGCAGTTTGATTGCAAAGTAGATTACAGTTAAAATTCCAGGAAGGGGCTGTAACTGACATTCAAAAGAACACAACATAAGAGTTAGAAATTCTAATTTTGCTCACTATTTAGTAATGATTAACATTTTAGCAAACTGTCTTACGTGTTGCTTTAGTCAAGTCTAAATTTAGAATTGGGCTAACACTGAATATATAAAAAAGCACATACTGTGTGAAAGATTGCTAAAGAGTAGATTTTCTGCTGTATTTAGTATAGCAAGATGTTACATAAATGTCTAATATTAATAGGGGTTTTATTTTCTGTAAAGCTTAACAGAATAATCAGTGGTTTTATATAAATTATCATATGTAACACAATTTACCACTTCTATGCAAAATAAAGGACAGTGGTATTTCTCATTATAATAAAATTCCCATTTGTAAATTATGAAACTTTGTCCAAAATATTTCATTTCTTGATTAATCAGGATTTGCTATAAAGTTAGGTTTTTTACTATCTAGGATTAGTAGTTTATTTTAAGAAATGCTTAACTCAATCCTTTACTTCAAATAATTTCCCTATTTTTACCAGGTGAGAATTAAATAAGAATAAAAATGTGTAAGTTAGTAATTTTCCCAATTGTTGAAATAAAAACAAATGGCAGTGCTTCTCCCTCTGTTGCCAAAATTAATCTTTTGTATTCCTCACAAAATATTACAAAACTCATGTTCACAATACAATCGGTAAATAAATGTGTAAATTTTCAATGATAAGGAGTCAAGGGAAATGCTAAAGTGAGAGTTAAAATACGAATTACCAATTTATCATTATAGTTTTTCAGAATTCATCTGTTTTAAAATTCGCATACTTTTGATGAGGTTAATGTTGAATATCTGAAGGTAATTTTTTCCCCTGTAAACACATACCATTAGGTTTATTTCTCTTTCTAGTGGCTATAGTGTATCACCAAAGAAGTGAGCCAGGGTTCTTAAGTATAAATTATCCTTTAGTTACTATGAATTCCCTTCCTAAATGCAGGCCAAAAGTATTTACAAAAATTGTAAATATCTTATAAAAATGCTTGACCACTATAAGATTCTAAATAGAAGATCCAGACTGTGAGAAAAAAAGTGAGGCACATTAATGAACACAAACTGGATAGGCACATTTCTGGGTTTTGTTATTGTTTTAAAAGGCACACATTATGCAATTCATATAAAAATAAATTAAATCTATAGCATTAATTCATCAAAACAATCACAACTTCTATAAAGTTAACTAACTGCAGAAGTAAATTTCTCTGCTGTCTTTTGCAAGCTTATTTTAAAACACATTGCACTTAAAAATTTTAAAATATCATATAAAACACCATTTACACTTTATTAATATGTTTATGAGAATCAAATTATAGATTTTTTGCATACAACTTGGACTCTGGTCTGATTACTGTATGGCACAAAACTCAATTTGATTGAGTGTTCTGAGTTAACATTATCCAAAACTTAGAATTCATGTTCTGTTCTTATCCATTCAATAGCAAACTTATAAAATTTCAAAGCTAACTCTAAAAATTTATGGAAAGCTAAATTATTTTGTATTTTCTCCTGAAATTTTAGGCCTGATATTACCCTATAAACCCCTTTTTTCAACATAGACATTGGAGATAATTAAAAATTCTGGTCTATGAAAACTTCATTTTTACTGAGAATCTGAATCATGTGCTTCCTGAATATTGCAGTTGATCATTTACAGCATAGAAAATCATTTCAGTGCTATTTTCTTTCAAAGACTCACTTTAAAAGTGCAATTTAATGTTTGTAGTCAGTTCTCAAATAAGTCTAAGTTTGAAAAACATCATACAAGTTAGAAGAGTGTTTGGAAAGAACAGATAATGCAGAATGGCAAGTTTGTACTACTCCCTCGGGCCAAACCACTTTCCCAGGTCCGTCAACAATCTGCCAGGTATCGTCCTGAAAAACACCAAGCAGACCTTTGCAATTACAATTTCAAATGCACTCACAGGTGGACATTTTTCACTGTGGCTACCAATACAAAACGCTAGCTCCCATCTGTTGTTTACAATACATTAGAATCAGATCACAAGTGTTCAGCTATACTGACTGTAAGTACTCTCTCCCCCAGGTGTGTCTACCTGGCACCTTGTACCAAGGGTCAACGAAAAAATTCCATGCCTTTAGATTATAAACTGCTTGACAGTTGTTTAGAAACTGTTAGAAGATAAATGTTTCCCTAGCTGGGTGTGGTGGCGCGTGCCTGTATTCCCAGCTACTAGAGAGGCTGAGACAGGAGGATCACTTGAACTCAGGAGTTTGAGGTTGCAGTGAACTGTGACAATGCTACTGTACTCTAGCCCTGGCAACAAAGTGAGATCCTGTCTCAAAACAAAATAAACAATAAAACCCCAAATGTTTCCCATGTAAATTAAAAAGTTTGAAATCTTCCCACTTACCAGTGGCAAACCGCTTCTTTACTAAGGAAAGCCTATAACCAGTGCCTACAAGTTCAACATCTATTCCTGAGAGGGTACTTCCCTCGCTGAGGAATTGCACTGCAAGTGTCGTGGGTTTACCAGGTCCTTCTGAAAGATCAAATTTTGCTCTGAGGGACCCAGAACCTACAAAGAAAAGAATACATAACTTACACAGGGTAAAATATATTTCACACAAAATAAAACCCAATGAGCATGTAAGCTAAACTATATCAGTCCTGTGCTAACAGAAGATGTGACACTAAACAAACCATTGTTCTGTTTCCAAATCGGATTTTATTCAGTGAGTCTGAATTTTCCTTAAGTAAATAATCTTAATCCACGTTTCTCTCTGACTTTAATACTAGTCTTCAGAGATGTTCACTACTGGAGTACTATGCTATACATATGTTGAAGTGAGTCAAAAGAGAAGAAGGAAGTAATTGAGGACAGCCCAGAGGGAAACCCTAGGAGGGATATAGGTAGTTGAAGTCAAAAAGAAATGACTGCTGAGTACCAGATCATAGGGGTGGGAGAGGTAAGGAAGGAAAAGTAGCTATGGTTGGGAGAGTTGTATCAACATTACTATTTTTTATTCACTTTTCTTTTTAAAATTTTATTGTTCTAACATCATGCTAAAGAGATATTTCTGAGACGCTTTCTTTTTGATATAAGCATTTACCTCAGTCTAACAGCATGGCAGAAACAGTAAACCAATAATTATAATGCATATGAAAAAGGCTACAAAGGAGCTCTCAGGAGTTACAGGCACAAGAGCACATATCTCTGCTCAATGTTATAAATGGTGGTAGTGATGATGGTGTGTATTTTACAGGTACGGAGACAGGATACCGGAGAGAGTGTGATGCATTTAAGGGAACTGCATCTATACCAGAATAGCTGGAGAACAGGATACAAGTGGAGAAAACCAGCCGATAAGTCGAGAGTGATAACAAGGACCAGGCTATGGTAAGAAATTTGACATAACCATCTTCCTTCCAAAGATAAGCAAGACAAGAACATTTCAGATTGGTGTCTTAGAAGGGGGGAAAGAATCAAGAAGCAAAGTTGGGAGAGCAACTCCAAGTCAATAAAACAGTTTAGGACTCTAGGTGACAGGAAAAGGGGATCTGAACTAGGGTTAAGGGAAAAGAAAAATATTTAGAAAGTCATTTTGAAAGATATTTAAGAGTTAGGATCAACAGGTGAGAAGGGAGAAAGAGTATGGGAGGGTTCCCAGGTTTCTGGTCTTAACCAGGGCAAGTGGACAGAACTGCTAGGTAACAGGAGTAAGATCCTATGATCTTCTGCACAGAAGTTTAACACTACAAAGAGAAATGTGAAACAAGATGCCACAATACTGATCAGCCCTATATTATTTTGCCTAGTAGTACAGAATTCTTAACTATTGTCCAGGTTCTCTTTAAACTTTTACAATTCTTGATAAGCAATTAAGTTCTGTGACAGTTCCACCATGGGCTTAGAGGAAAAAAAAATGTGTTCTGAAACTCAACTGGTCCATTCTTATTTAAGGTATTAACTTCCACCTAGTGGTCAGTTCTAGAACTGAAGGCATGAAATTCCAGGAGGAAACTTTCCATAAACATGCCTTAAAAAATCCATTTTCAATGACCACATTATAAACAAAAAAGCATGCAAACACTTACCTCCATTTTCTGATTTTTCTGAAATACCGGACAATTTCCAAAAGGCTTTCATTTGTTCTGCATTCCTGTAGTAAGAACAAGTATCTTCAGATCACGTGTCTAGTATAGTAACTTATACATGGATAAAACTTCAATAAATAAATACATTTTAAATATTTGCACTACAACTATAGTGCTAAGTTTACTTTAAATACTATTACCTGGTGAAAATGTTTATGATACAGTATAAATAAACAAAATGCCATATGTTTCTCAATTAATGAAAGTTTACCAAATTATGTAAGGTAGCTCAGTACCTTCATCAGTCAAGGAAAACACATTGTTATTAAATGATGAAGCAAATATAAAGAGTGGTAAAGTCTATACTCATATTAATAGAGGGGACAAGAGAGGTGGTTAAGAGATGGGATTAACTAATACTATTGAACACTAATCAGACAGGTATTACTATAGATATGCCACATGCTATATATTTAAAGACAATAATTTTTATTTTTATTTATTTATTTATTTTTTGAGACAGAGTCTCACTCTGTTGCCTGGGCTAGAGTGCCATGGCGTCAGCCTAGCTCACAGCAACCTCAAACTCCCAGGCTCAAGCGATCCTCCTGCCTCAGCCTCCCGAGTAGCTGGGACTGCAGGTGTGTGCCACCATGCCCAGCTAATTTTTTCTATTTTTAGTTGTTTGGCTAATTTCTTTCTATTTATAGTAGAGACGGGGTCTCGCTCTTGCTCAGGCTGGTCTCAAACTCCTGAGCTCAAGCAATCCTCCTTGGCCTCCCAGAGTGCTAGGATTACAGGCGTGAGCCACTGCATCCAGCCAATAATTTTTATTTTTTAAATTAAAAAAAAAAAAAAAGAAGTTTAGAGAGGTTAAGCAATTTGTCTAAGGGTAAAGTTGGAATGGAATCATTCAAGTCTGGGTGGTACTTACGACAAAACTAGTTTTGTTTATTTTGGACTGAAGCTACTACAGTTTGACTAGTAAAATGAACAGCATCTGTTATAGCATGATTTCTATGGGAAAATGTACTAAAACTGTTCAAACTTACAAGACAACTTTCAGAACCTGGGTTATAAAAGTTGGGGATTATAACAGAAATTGAGCAGAAATTCAGAAATATATTTAATTTACCATATTGCAGGGGGAAGGGATTGCATGTTTGTGACTCCTCCATCCACTGGTACCACCACCTGTATGTTGGAAAGCACAGTAGGTGCCACCATAGCTTCTGGATTATATTTATAATCCACTCTAAGATCTGTGGTGCTAGCACTACATTTCCAGTATGTTGCAAGATTCAGAGGAGTGGACTGAATGCCATTTGCTGATACCTTTAAAGAGAAAAAACCAAACAATTGTCTTTGGCCTGGAAAGTTAACAAGTCATGTTAATGACACGGTTACTTGAACATAAGAGTCCACAGAACAAAAAAATCTAATGAAGGCACTATCTGTTGCTAGGCAGAGTAAAGCAGACTTATTTCAAGGGAGTAAAGGTCACATACAATATGTGGACCTCGGACTACCTACATCAAAATTGCTGGGGTACCCGTTTACAATGCACATTCCCCTGGCTCCAAGTGCAGAAAATCTGATTCAACAGCTTCGGGATATGGGCCAGAAATCAGCATGTTATCAGGGAAATTCTTACTTGTGCATGTAAAGTTTGAGAACTCCCAACATGCAACACAGAATTTTTTTTTTTTTTTTTTTGAGGCAGGGTATCATTCCGTTGCCCAGGCTAGAGTGCAGTGATGTCATAATAGCTCACTGCAACCTCAAACACATGAGCTCAAGCGATCCTCCTGCCTCAGCCTCCTGAGCAGCTGGGACTACAGGGGTGCCCCCACCACACTCACCTAATTTTTTCTTTTTTTTGTAGAGATGAGGTCTTGCTAATTTGTCCAGGCTGGTCTCAAACTTCTGCGCTCAAGCAATTCTCCTGCCTTGGCCTCCCAAAGTACTAGGATTACAGGCGTGAGCCACCGTTCCTGGCTATCAACACAGAATTCTAAGATTCTTCATGAATTATAAGAAGTTAGATTTTAGGCCAGGCGCGGTGGCTCACGCCTGTAATCCTAGCACTCTGGGAGGCCGAGGTGGGAGGATTGCTTGAGCTCAGGAGTTCGAGACCAGCCTGAGCAAAAGCGAGACCCCGTCTCTACTAAAAAGAGAAAGAAATTAATCGGACAACTAAAAATATATAGAAAAAATTAGCCAGGCATGGTGGTGCATGCGTGTAGTCCCAGCTACTCGGGAGGCTGAGGCAGAAGGATCGCTTGAGCCCAGGAGTGTGAGGTTGCTGTGAGCTAGGCTGACCCCACGGCACTCACTCTAGCCCAGGCAACAAACAGAGACTCTGTCTCATAAAAAAGAAAAAAAATTAGCCAGGCATGGTGGTGCATGCCTGTAGTCCCAGCTACTCGGGAGGCTGAGGCAGTAGGATCGCTTGAGCCCAGGAGTGTGAGGTTGCTGTGAGCTAGGCTGACCCCACGGCACTCACTCTAGCCCAGGCAACAAACAGAGTGTGACTCGGTCTCAAAAAAAAAAAAAAAAAGAAGTTAGATTTTGTTTACAGTGAGAAAAAAGGATAGGTCGCCATTCAGTTCCACAAGCCTGGAATTAGGACACTTCTAACTTCAAATGTTTGACTTTAATCACTTTAATCACATGACTCTCAATAAATGGTACAATTTCCTATAATTCTTCCACTCCTTGTTCAAATGGCTTCCTTTCAAGGAGAACTATTCTGACCACCCTGTTTAAATTTACATTGAAAATTGCATTTTCGATTTTCCTTATCTTACTCTACACTTTTTTCCTCTATAGCACTCATTTTCTAACGTGTTATTTACTTATTATTTTCTACAAACATAAGCCATTTTAATATAATACAATTACCCGATTAAGAATTCAAACAATAGAGAAGTATATAAAACAGGAAATTTATCCCTCGGCATTCTTACTCCCCATGGTTAACGCTGTAGTACATATCCTTCCAGACTGTTTAGGTACATGCAAACATGGATCCATCTCATTTCTTGTAATGGCTGCAGTAATTCATTTAATTAATCTCTTCCTCTGCTGGTATATACTTAGGTGGCTTCCAAACAACACTACAGTGAATATACCTTTGTACCTTATCTTTGCCCTCTTGTGAGATTTCTGAAAGTGGAATTGTTGAATTAAAAGTTATGTCTAACAGATTGTTGTTTTATTCAACAATCTAACAGAATTGTCTTCTAAAAGGTTCTATTAATTTGCATACTATCAACAAGCGATCCATCATACCTTTATTAATACTGAATAAAGCAATCTCTCATTTTTGTAAATCTGATGGGCTAAAAGTGATACCTCATTGTTGTCTTAACAGTCACTGCTCTCATTATTACTGACATAGAGCATCTTTCCATCAGTTATCTGTCTGTTGAGTTATTCACCTTTTACTTACTAATTTATAAGGGTTCTTTGGCATAGGCCCTTTGCTCTATTATCTTATATGTTACAAATACTTTTCCCTCCAATTATATATTAAATCTGTTTAAGGGTTTGTTTTAACCAAATATTTTTTATACACATGTGCATGCACACATTTATTTATTTCTGTGTCATATATCTCTCTTCTTATAGGGCTTCTGGGTTTTATATCATACTTAGAAAGGTCTTCCACACTTCAAGATTAAAATATATAATAAACATACAGTATACACTTGCACCGACACACACATATATACAGTTATCCCTTAGTAGACTTGGGGGATTGGTTCTAAGACACCCACATGTACCCAAATCCACACATATTCAAGTCCCACAGTCAGCCCTCCATATAAACAGCTTTCACATCCCTCGAATACTGTATTTTTGATTAGAGTTTGGTTAAAAAAAATCTGTATATAAGTGGACCCATGCAGTTCAGACCTGGGTTGTTCAGGGTCAACTCTATATTCACCCATAATTTATTATAGTACCTTTATGGTTTCATTTATTATTATTAAACCTTTGATACACGTGGATTTTGTTTTGGTTAGAAGTGTGAATTAGGGATTCAGCTTAATTTTTTTCCTCAAATGTCTAGGTTGCCTCCTCAATATCATTTATTGAAAAATCATCATTTCTACAATGCTTTGAAATCCTACTTTGTCATATACACAATTTTCCATTTATTCTTAGATCTATTTGTGGATACCTTAATCTGTTCCATTCATTTGGCATCAATTCCTATGCCAGTTCCAAACTATTTAAAATACTGTTATCTTATAATAAGTTTTCCCATTAAAAATAAAACATTACTTCCCACTACTGTTTAAAACATTTCTTGACTTATTCTTCCAAGCTTTGTTCTTCCAGAGAACTTCAAAATGATTGTCAAGTCTCCAAACACAGAGATACCTCTTATTGGGTTTCTGATAATTACCTTACATATTAAATTTGTAAGTTAATTTAGAAACAGCTAAACTTTTTATATTCTTCTTTTAAGTAAATAAAGTATACCTTTCTAACTATATACAAGGCAATAGAGTGTGTTATTTTCTTCTTGTTTTTTATTGTGAATATTTTTCTCCATTAGTTTTTCTAACTGGTTGTTTCAAGTTACGAATTTTTGTATTAATTTTTAAACTGACCACCTTACTAAATTCCCCTATATCAAATAGTTTTTCAATTGATTTTCTTGAGATTTCCAGGAATATATCACTTGCAAGTAAAAATTACTTTGGTTCCCCTTTCCCAGTATTTATTAATATCACTGCTTATTTTATTCTCTTATCTAACTGTACTAGCTAACATCCAGAAAAATCTTATATACTAACAGGATTAATGGGTACTTTGCCACTCCTGACTTTAATTGACTGCTTTAGGTATTTCATTATTAAGATTGATGCTGCTAGTCTTTTCAGGTTAAGGACAAATTTCTGTATTTATATTTATACAGTATTTTAATCATGAATAGATGGTGAATTTGATCAAATCTCCACTGGCTTACTAACAGATTTTCTAATTTCAAAACATCCCTGCATTTCTGGAATGAACATTTGGCTATGACATATTTATTCATTTAATTATATGCTAGATTCTATTTGTTAATATTTTAATTTAGGATTCTTACAATGACATAACACTCACCTGATACTTTAATACATCTACATTATAATAAGAAGCAGCTGGATTTTGCTCTGATAGCTTCTTGAGGTAGACAGTAACAGCTTGCATGTTCATCCAAAAATCTTTTGTGTTGGAATCACATTGTGATGGATCACTATAAGTATAAGAAATATTTTTGTTATTTTGTCTGACTTATCTTTATCCTTTGCATCTGTATAGTATTCTGGTGACACAGGAAAGATTAGCAGAAATGAACTAAAAGGTGGGATGAGGGAAAACTAAGATTTGGGGGTAAAGAATGGGACACAGCAGAAGCATGCCTGAAAGATGAGAAGATGGAGAGAAAAGGATTTTAAAATAACTGTCACCACCACCAAAAACACAAAGATAGTAGAAGTTTGTTTAATGATAAATAATTTTGGCATTGTCTTCAAATTAAATATTATTGTTCCAAAGAAGGAAAAGATCTCTTAAAAAGAAATTTCAACCTTCAAAAGGAGCCAGACCTGAACACAAGTTGTGCATTTGGAAGAATCTGCTCCAGTCTGCTGATATTTTTCACCCTGAAACACAGCACAGCTGGAGATGGATTGCTAGTGAAGACTTTAATAACTCCACTTGGAAATGATATTGTCATGTCACCAGTGATCTTCACAATACACCTAGAATTGGGGATTTTGAAAAGTGTTTAAATAAAATGCTTTAATCTCCATTTAAAGCATATTTGGTTTAAAAAGACATAAAAACACTACACACATGCACATATATCCTGTATCATAATTATGAATAGATTATTTTTCAATTTAATTATTAAAAAATATATTCTACATGAAATGGCATACTCATCTAGTGTCATCTTTTCCTGGAACTAAACTCCAAACACAAACACAAGCACAAGCACACTGATAATGTTCCTTCATTTTTTTTTTTTTTCTTTTTTTACGATAACCCTGGTAGAGCTGTAAGAACATTGATTCCCTGGTAACACTATCCTTAGTTGTAACTATTCTTCCCTCCCAAGTTGCACAAAGCAGTGGGCTGGATAATGGTGGTGGCAGATGTCTGCTTGCTGCTCATTACTTCTTCCAACCCTCTAGTCCCTTCTTCCTTTGAAACGGGGTCCCTTAGCGTTACCTGGAAATTCTATCATATTCCTTAGTCTACTTACTCTTCTCTTTTCATAATTTCTCCTTTCTAATCTGCAATATTCCTTTCCTCCCCTCTCAGCTGATGACTTTGCTTTTAATTTTTCTGAGGAAACAAAATCAGAAAAGAATGTCCTCATACTCTCACTCCTAAACTCCTAATCTACCTAACTCTTTATCTGTATCTTCTGCCTTCTATCCTACTTCAATAGATGACCAGTTTCTGCACCTAAGGCCAATCCCACCAATTCCACACTGGAGCTCATCTCCTCTTATATACTGAAGGACTTCACTCATACAATTGTTCCTTCTCTTTTCTACAGGTCCAGTTTTTTCCATAAATACTGGGTCTTTCCCATTAGCATACAGACATGCTGAAATATGTCATCTTTTAAAAAAACTGAAAACTAAAATAAATAAAACTTTCCTCTGAACCATCTCACTCCTGCTAACATACCATTTCTCTGCTCCCACTTAGAGTAAAACATACTGAAAGAATTGTCTAGACCTGGGGGGGGAAGGGCAACATACGTAACCTAAACATCTGTACCCCCATAATATGCCGAAATAAAAAAAAAATGTATCATGGATAACTTCCTATGTCAATAAACAGCCAACAATATTTAAAAAAAAAAAAAAGAATTGTCTACATTTGTTCATTCCAAATATAGTTGTCTAGATTTGAAACACCTCCTGTTCCTGAATTCTCTTTAAAAGCAGGCTTTCATATCCACTATGCCACTAAAATTGCTCTTGTGAAGGTTATCAATGACTTCCATATTGTCAATGATTAATTTTTCTTGACCTGTCAGCAGCATCAGATATAAATATGTTCACATCTTCCTTCACAAAATGATTTATTCACTTAGTTTCTGGAGACTGCTATATTGGTTCTCTCCTCACCTCTATTGTTGCTTGCTGTTTCAAACTCCTTTGCTGGATCATTCTTATCTTCCTGTTTTCTAAACTCTAGAGGGGACCAAAACTTAAGTTTTCAGATCTCTTTTCTATCGACTCCTTACGACTCCTAAATTTTAAGTTTTATTATATATACAAACTAATTAGACTACCAAATACATCTCTAGCCTAGACTTATTCCTTGAACTTCAGAATCATGTATCCAACTATTAAGTCAACATCTCCACTAAGATATCTTTTTTGGTTTTTGCCAAGTACTTCTTACCAAGTACTTCAAATTTCGCATTCTACTCCCTCATCAAATACTGACAACTGTTTTCAAAATATATTCAGAATCTTATTACTATTCACCACCTGCTATGCTAATACTCTTATATAAGCCACCATCATCTCTCATCTGGACTTCTGTAGTTAACATTCTCCTACTCTGGCTTCCCCTAGTTTACTCTCCATAGAGCAGCCACAGTGCTCCTTCAAAAATCTCATCACTCCTCTGCTCAGAGCCTCCACTGGCTTCCCACCTCACCCCAAATAAATTCCAAGCTCCTTATCATGGTTTACAATGCCCAACCTGATCTTGTACCTCTCTGGATTCACCTTAGACTATTCTCTCCCTTGTTTACTCCTGCTCAGTGACACGGTTCTCCTTGCTGTTTCTTGAATACACCAAGTATGCTTTTACCTCAATTCCTCACATTCACTGCTTCCCTCTTCCTGGAATGGTCTTCCCTTAGACATCTGCATGGCTTGCGCATCCACGTCTTTCAAGTATCTGCTTAAATTAACCTCGAAAAGGTTTTCCCTGATCATTCTATCTAAAATAGTAGCCTTTTGTTGCTATTCTCTATCCTCTTACCCTGGTTTATTTTTCTTCGTAACATATATCAATATCCAACATATATAGCCATCTGTTTCTCTGATTATCAGTTTTCCCTCACTAAAATATAAGCTTATGAGACCACTTTGTTTACTAAAGTATCCTCAGCACACTTATAACAGGTCTTACAAACAGTAAGAGCTCAAATATTTGATGAATGAATGCATGCATGCTGAATGAATAATATTATGCAGGAGAAGTAGAAGTGGTTATTCACTCAGATATAATTCTTTTAAAAGAAAGAGGCTAACTCAATCCTGTAACAGTCTCATATTAAACATGCATTCTAGATCTCTCTTAGAAATTATCACACTTTCACCAAGATTTACATTAGGCCAACATTCACAGTTCCATCCCTATCCAGGTCGCTGCCATCTGCTTCACAGATACGTCAAATTACAGATCTGTGATACTGGTCATAAAGCCTTTGCAAGAATGTAAATAAACTGGGAGAAAAGCCATCATTATTGCTTATTATAGCAATTTTTTAATTTGAAAGACAATCTTCAAATGACTGTATTAGATAGCAAAAATCAGGTAAATAAATAATAGAAAACCCTAACCTATATTGAATCAAAATATAACTCTTAAAATTCACCACCAGTCCTCCCCTTCCTCGCCACCCCCCCCCACCCCGCAACAGGGACGTATATTTTAGAAACTAACTTGGTGGGATCTGCTCCTTTAAAGTAGGCATTAACAGATTCTGTAAGGGCAACTGCCACAGGTAAGGTGTCTTGATTTCCAAGGCTGACAGGGCTGGGACCCCTTGACACACCTAGAATACATGTAATTCATTTGTTAAATCCTTCAGAAAGACATATATTAAATATCAAGACAGATTTACAATGTTAGATTGTCACAAATGATCCTATTACTAGTTTCAACGATGCCGCAAATATAAATCTAGAGGCTAAGAAACATGGCATAAAACAAATTGGAACACAATACAGTGGACAAGAAAAGCCCAGGCAGCCATATCATACTGACTTTGCTTTTAAATGGAAGACACAGAACAGTTAAGGAATGTCAGAAGAAGAAAGCCCTTGACTTGAAGAGCTAAAATTACTAAAATACAGCTTTAAAAACATTCAAATGCCAAATTCAGGTTCTATCAATCACATATTAAATACTTCAGGACATTAAACTAGATTTTTGTATTTGTTTCTAACCAAGCAGTAATGTTTCGTACACTTCTTACTATTGTTATAAGTCTTTTTAACCTCCTCTTTGATGTTTGTATTATGTTCACACATTACCTTGCCTCAAAAAATACTTGACTAATAACGATACTTTAAAAAGAATAATATCCCTGATATAAAGTTCACTCAGATAAGACAAATCATAAAAAGATGAGTGTCTGTAAAGTACAATAAAATGTAAACAAATTTAATCCATGCATATGTTCAGGTTTTTGGTTTTTTGTTTTTTAACCTAAATGAAGTATCCCCTAAAAACAGCGCATTGCCTTTGTTTTTCTTCACAAATGCATTCTTCCCATGTATGCCTTGCCACACTGGCATACATGGGAACTGATTTTCCCAAGTGCGAAACTTACTGATTTTCCAAAGTGGAGCATTTAATATATAATATATGATGTAGTTTTATAAAAATATATAGGAGTGTTTGTTACAATTATTTGTTCTTACTTAAAGGAAAAAATGCACAACCTAGGTCAACACTTATCTCAAATTTGAATGTACACTTTTCTTATATGTATGTTACACAATGTTAACAGTCATCAGGTATTTTTATTTTAGATGTGACTTTCTTATAAAGGAAGTCACTGAAAGACTAAGTTACTTATGAGATACCTGAAGTATTAATTCTGATAAAAATCAGTACTGGCTTTCTCTGCCTCACGACTAAATCTAAGATCCTAAAAATAATGAAAAAAGATATTTTGTTATAGCTTGGTACTCTAGATTTTGAAGGAATTTTTATTGAGAAGGTTCTTCTCAGTTAGAAAAAGAGTTCAATGATGAAAAATACATGGAGAAAAGAACTGCTGCTTCTAGGCCATTGGAAAAAGTAAATCCCCCATAACAAGACAACTTAAAATTTCATGTGAAGATAATGAACTCAATGATATAAAAACCTATTCACAACAATCCCAACAGGTACTATTTATTAACCACTAACATGTGCCAGGCACTTAGCTAAGGAGGCATGAAAAAAAAAATGGTGCCTTTTTGAAGCCCAAGTATTAGTTTTGGGCTAATTATTTATTAAAGCAGAAGCCAATAAATAAAGTGAGGGGTGGGCCAGAATGATGAAAGGACACACAGATGAAGCTGGAGAAGTGCTTATTAGCAAGATCAGGGTATGGAAGACCTTTAGCTTTATCCTTTTGGCACCAAAAACCTCTCACAATGTTTGAGAGAAACATTATTAGGTTTTTTATTTAGTAATATCACTCTGAACACAGAGTAGATCCTAGATTGAAGAGAAAAATGACTGTTGACAAGGATTCATGTTTGGATCAGATGAGAGTGGTTACGTGAAAGATAAGGAACTGACCAAGAAGCATTAGTTTTGGGATGTATGTGAGAAAATGTTAAGCGAAAAAAGCAGATTAAGTATAATTTACTGATTATAACTATGCAAGTACATGTTTATGCATTGGGAAATTTCACTACAAAACCAAATTAGTTTGATTGTAACTTTTTTCCTAATATATTGCTCTAAACAACAGGGTCTTCAGAAATTCCGGAAAGCATATTTTCAGAGAAAGATGAAGGCCACAATTTTTTTTCCTAATTTTTTTTATTGTGGTAAAATAAACATAACAAAATTTACCATCTTAATCATTTTTAAGTGTACAGTTCAGTGGTATGAAATACATCATAATGCCATGCAACCATCACCATCATCCATCTCCAAAACTCTTTTCATCTTGTAAAAGTGAAACTCTGTACCTATTAAACAACAGCTCCCAATTCTCTCCTTTCCCCGGCCCCTGGCAACCACCATTCTATTAATACTTTCTGTCTCTATGAGCTTGGCTACTCTAAGTATCTCATATAAGTGAAATCATATAGTATTTGACTTAGCACAATGTTCTCAGGGTTCATCCACATTGTAGCACATGTCAGAATTTCCTTCCTTTTTAAGGTTGAACAATAGTCCATTGTATTTATACACCACATTTTGCTTATCCATTCATCTGTTGATAGACACTTGGGTTGCTTCCACCTTTTGGCTATTGTGAATAGTGCTATGAACATGGGGTACAAATATCTCTTTGAGACCTACTTTCAATTCTTCTGGGTATATAACCAGAAATGCAATTGCTATATCATATGGTAATTCTATTTTTAATTTTTTGAGGAACAGACATAACATTTTCCATAGCAGCTGTACCATTTTACATTCCTAGCAACTGTACACAAGGGTTCCAATTGTTCCAATTTCTCCGTATCCTCACCGATACTTACTATAATAATTTTTTATTAAATTATATTTTCTTAAATATGGAATTAATATTTTCCCTGAGTAACTCACACAAATGGATATTTATATACAGTCAAGAGTATCATGTCTATTACTGCTTTGACACTAAAAATCAAAAGAAACCTACTAAGTTATTCTTTTCAACTATCTAGTTTGGGCATATAACATGAGAATTCTTGAAATAGTTTTTTTCCTTGTAAACTGTTACACCCATTACTGAAATACTGGCAAGAAGAGAAAAATGTTGGGAAGTAAGAGAAAAACTCAAAAGCCACTTAACATTGGCATATTCCCTATAGTATTTTCTATTTTTGTTTTCAAGATTATATTGTACACATACATACTTCAAAAAATAAATTTACATAGGAAATATGTACTTAAGTCCCTTAAAAAGCCTAAATTCACACTATATTATTCCAAATAAGTTTTTTAGAAATTAGTATTTCTTTATATTCTTAATATGGATAGACTGTGCTTTCCAATTTTGGTTTAATTATCACACATTTAGACAACTGTATGTTCTGAAAATGCAGAGAGCTCATAAACTTGAGGTAAGTAAAGGGTACGAGGTACCCTCCTAATAAGGATCAACGAATATTTATGTTGAATTCCTTTCAGCTCAAGAGTAAAAAACAGAAGCTCACTTCCAACAATCTCCTATCTCTGTTGTTTCTGACTTCAGCTCACAATCTGTATGGTTTTAGTACAAAAGCCTTTGCTCTAGTAGTTTAGTTATCTTTTTAAACTGACATATTCTTTCTACTTCTTTTCTAATCACTTTTTCTCTGATTTTGATAGCTTTAGAGTTAAGATTTATTGATACTTCTTAATGTTGAGGTGAGGAGAGCAAGGAGATGGAAGAAAATGCAAAAATATTACATGTTTTTATTGTTGGGGATTTAATATCAATGAGTCCTGTACAGCAACTGGACACAATTAGCACAAAATTAAGACAGTTAATCTTAGTGTTATTCTTGATTTCTGAGACACCGTATGTTGCTGGAAAAGGAAAAATCAGGTAACAAAGTATTTTAGATACACTAAAGGATCATTAGTCAACACATACATCTGCTTCTGATACAATACCTGGTGATGTTTCACAGTGCTTTTCAATTTCAGAGAGTGTCCCAATCAAATTATCATCTTCTATCATATTTAAATAAAACAAAATATTGCAGGAAAAGAAAACATTTTCAAGAAACAAGAAGAATCAAAATTTTAAATCTAAACAGAGAGCTGAATAATCATCATGATGAAGAAAGATACTTTTTAGGCAGAGTTAAACAACTTTTGTTGCATAAAATCCACATACAACCTGCCTTACTTGTATTGTTGCTTTTACCTACTTTTGGAGCTCCTATTGGCAGCACTGGCTTAAATCACAAACAAATACATACCAACTCAATCAAAATTAAAATTTCCATCACAAACAAAAACCTTCTGAATAATCCAAGAATAATGGAAAAAAACAAACGCTTATTTTAGTTATCTAGACCACCTGATTTCTAGTAGGGGCCATCTATGTTTTTTACAACTAAAATATAGATTCTGTGAAAACAAAACTTAACAAAATCATATATACAAACAAAAAATAATAAAGTGTTCATTTAACCAAATAAAAGGACAAACTTATTAGATATATTCTGTTTACACAAAATTAAAAGATGGGAAAAATGCTATGTTCATGAAGATATAAAAAATAAGATGGTGAGATGATGTCTGGACACTTAGAAATCAAACCATTTCATATTTCATTCTAGCCTACATTACTTATACTATTTTTACAATGGCCACATACACAAGATGTACTTCTCCTATGTGAGTTGTGACAAATTAAACTGGATATAATTAAATTAGATTAATTAGGGCTGTGGTTCTCAAACTTAGCATGCAGCAGAATCACCTGGAAGGCCTATTAAAAGATGGCTAGCCTCACTCCCAGCGTTTCTGATTTAAAGGGTCTACATTTCTAACAAGTATCCAGGTGATACAGATGCTGCAGGTCCAAGAACTACATTTTGAGCATTATTGAATTAGTGCTCAGTTAGTGCACATCAGTGATGTGCATTTTCAAGGATGAAACTATCACTACCTAAAGCCAACAGCAATAGGGACAGTTAAAATTTTGATAAGAAGCTGTTGCTCCTGAGACACAGCTGCTTTAAGTGGCTTTGTGCTTTATTATACTCACAATGAGTGAGAAAGGTATTAAGAATTCGCAGGAAGAACTGAGTAAAGGTGATGACAGAAAAAACCCTCGCAAAATCTAGAGGTAGTAAAATACTGGATTTGTTTGGTGAGGTTTAGGTTTATATAGCTATGTCCTAAGAGCTATTTAAATCTTTATAATTAAATTTTTTGTGCAAAAATATAATCCATTGCAAGCACAAAATCCCTTTCTTTCATTGAATCAACTGTTTTCAAAACAATTGTTTTTAAAATACAAACTTTCTCAGAAATACAATTATCAGTTCATAGTAGAAAAGGACTGCATTATAATTTGGCTTCAACTATTTATATTAATCAGCAGTTTATAAATTTGACTCATTCTTAACAGTGCTAACCACAGTTAAAAATTTCTTTATCCAGATAACATAGATTGCAAAACAGAAAAGGAAAATGTGGCCAGTTTGATAATGCCAGGTGAGTTTCTGGAAAAACAAAATTTCTGTTAAATTCTTCATTTAGCCCATTAAAAAAAAAGTGTGATAATACTTTATATGCTAAATTTCACGTGTAAATTGATAACCACTTACCTACTGTTGGAGTATTGGCAGCACTTAATGAAGCAGATGATGAGATAGAGGAAGAACTTTCTGCCCGGGCTAAAGGAGCGGCAGGAGGTGGGCTGGTGTTGGAAGTTATAGGTGGGCTGAATGGCCTGGGCTTAAAACAAAAAGTTATTTATCAAAACGCTAAAACAATTACTCCCTGGTCAGAGAAGATTTTTAAGTATCAAGTAAATCTAGTATACCAAATGAAATTTACTGTGTGAGTTTCTTGTAACTCAAAATCAGAGATGCCACAAGTCAAATCATTTTCAAGAATATACTGAAAGCTGGAAATGTTATTTTTTTAAATAATGCTGTCAAGAGGGTCTTTGTGCATAAAACGTTTTCTGTATTTCAAAAGTATGCTTAAGATAGATTCTCAGACATTAAATTATTACACACTATACGAAGGCACTTCTCCCAAACTGCTTCCCCAAAGGGTTATTCACTTTTCTGTCTATAAATATATAAGAATATTTCTCTGTATCTTTGCTAGCAATGAATACATGAGTAATAGAAGAAATAATTTTAAAAACCTTCTAGCTAATTTGATAGAGTAAAAATAAAATTTGCATTTTTACTTTTATAAATGATTTGATATAGTCTTGGAAGGTTTTAGTACTATATGAACTTTCACTAACATTTTGCTTTATTTGCTACAAATCATATTTTCTTCCCTAAATATTGCTTGCCCCTTATTTTTGGTGGTTACAAATCTGTCCACTTTCCTTTAAAATTCCTTATAATGCTTCCTCATTGAGAAAGCTCACTCCATACAGACGTTTGAGAGACTCTTAATTCTGCTGTCTTCCCAATTTTCTAATTAAACATAAAAACAAATATGAAAAATGTAACTCTAATTCATTTATCTTTTACTTTGATGAATGGATCTTTTTTCCCCTTCCAACTTCCTAATTCTTCCAATAATACATTAGCAACGCTTCCTGAGGTGTTTCACTTTTTAAAAAAATAAGGCACATTTATAGTTTAATTAAAAATAATCTTTTCCTGCTTATAAAAGTATAAGGCAAGTTCAAAAATATTTATTTAGTGCCTACTATGTGTCTGGCCCTGAATTAAGTACTAGATACAAAGCAGTGAACAAGAAAGATAACTGTCCTCAGTTATTTGAGGAAAGAAAAGCAAAGGCAAAAACAAAATACCTATAAGCATTCATGCACCAAATTAGTCAACTCTTCATTGCACAAATATAAATGTACAGATATACACTTTCATAAAAATTAGATTTTACTGCACAAAATATTTTACAATTTGTAACCCCCTACCCATTTAAATACTTTTTTCAGAGTTCAGCTTTTTGATAACTCATTATTATGACAATAGGTTGAAAAAATACAGTAAGGTAATAAAAATGCAGTTGTGTATATATACAGATGGTGGTGGTTCAGGACATTGAGCTGAATGGATACTGCATTCAACAGCTGGTCGGAAACTTAAAAGCCTGAAAAAAGTTTTGAGATCAACTACTGTGGGTCCGGGACATTTCTCTTATGGCAACATGCCTTCATGGCCAATATAATGTGACTTCATTTTTACAGTACATTTATAATTTTTTAGAAAAAAGCAAAAACAGCTTTTTTCCCAAGTGGCTTTCTCTTATTTTACAACTGTGCTATCTAGTACTGTGGCCACTAGCACATGAAATGTGGCTAATTCAAATGTGCTATAAGTGTAAAACACAGAGCATATTTCTGAAGATTTAGCATACACACAAAAAGAATGTAAAGTCTCATTAATTACTTTTATATTGAATACATGTTAAAATATTTTTGATATACTGAGTAAAATAAAATATATTAAAATGAATTTCATTGTTTTTACTATTTTAATGTGGCTACTAGAAAATTTAAAATTATGTGCTGCTTATAGACAGCACTGCTTTAAAATAGCAGTTTCTCAAATGTTAGCATGCATCAGAATCATTGGAGGGCTAGTTAATACATAATTGTTGGGCCCCTCCCTGAATTTCAGATTTGTCTGGGGTGGAGCCAGAGAAACTATCAAGTTTCTATCAAGTTCCCAGGTAATGCTAATGCTGCTGGTTTGGGACTGTACTTTGAGCACCACTCCTCTAGAACAAAGAGGGGCTCTCTCAGGGAGTGGAGAAGGTATAATTATATATAGACTTCTTTGAGGATCCAGTGAAAGCTATGAGCCCTCTCTTCAGAAAAATGCACATACAAGTATGCAATTCCTTTTTCTAAAGGCACTCCAATGTACAGGTGGAGAGTATTTCACTTTTCAAATATTTTACTAAAAAAATAATGAATGTCTACAAAAGTGTAAACATAGGATATTCATTAAGATATCATTTATAATAATGAAAACATGGAACTAAATGTCAAATTTCTATAAATTCTGGAAATTTAATTCTGACAACAATGTAGAAGATAAACTACTAATACATGGAAATACTCTGCAGCCACTTCAAATGGTACTCCCTCCAGGGAGCTTGATGTTTCAGCCCTCAGGGTGGGGTTTCCAGAAGGCTCTCAAGGCTGGGGCAGGAGTGGTGGTGGTGGTGGGGGGGGGGGTGATGGGAAGGATTCAACTATAAAACTCCCACTTTTATTTATATTAATACACTTATACAATTTTAAATTATTTGGCAAAAGATTCTACCACTTTAAAAAAGCTTGGAAACTATGAAATAATAATTTACAAGAAGCTTGAAAACTATGAAATAAGAATGATCATGATACAGAAAGACATTCCTAAGATATTTTCAAGTGAAAAACAAATTAGAAATACATGAAGTGCGACTTTTATTTATTCATATCAAATGAATTCATTTATAATAAGTTTTTGTGAGCGATTATTTGCACTCAACAATGTTTTAAGTGCTTTACAAGATATTAATTCATTTAAACCTCACAACAACCTAGTGTCATTATACCCATTTTACCCATGAGGAAACAGATTCATTTTAAATAATTTGCCTAAGGTTCCTCAGCTAATATATAAGTAATAAGCTTGCACTTTTAACAACTGTATTTTACTGCCTCTGGATAAATTAACACACATTCAAAAAATAAATTGGTTATCTTTGGGTGGTGAAATATGAGGGAATTTTTAATTTTCTGTGTTTTCTTTATTTTCCAAATTTTACAACAACATACATTCCTTTTGTAATCAGGAAAAAAACCAAGTTATTAAGATGCAGCAATTTTTATATTACTTAAATAATAACCATCTCCTCGGCAGCTTGTACCTAGTCTTTCATTTCCTTCTACTAAGTCTGTTCATTGGGATGGGGGTGTTAAGAAAGATGGCACCATTTCAACACTCAATGCTCAAACCTTCTTATTTATTCACTGAACATTTCCTAACTATGTACCATGTAACAGGCATTATGCAAAGTATTGAGGATATGAAACTGACTAAGGCACAGTCCAGTTAGGGGAATATGTGCACTAACAGAAAATAAGCAAAGTATATGGATATAAAGAAGAGGAGGAATGATAGAACTATCAAATAGGGCTTTACCTAGGTGGTGTTACTTAGCTGGGTTTTAAAGAAAGAGGTCAATTTGCTACATAGAATACTGAGGGCCCTTTCAGATACCGGGAGAACAGTAAGAAGACATAGATGTATAAAAGAGCATGAAGTGTTTGGGGAACTCTAAGAAGTTCTGAGTGGCTCAAACCTAGGTTGGAAAGAGGAGAAAGATGGGCAGTTGGTCTAGTAATGCAGTTTGTTCAGGCACTTTATGGATATTCTTGTACATTAAGCTAAAACATTCAACCACATGGACTATAGTGACCCAGTGGAGATGTATGTCAAAGGGAAAAAAATTAAGCTTGACTTTCATAAATTTAATTCTGACAATTAAATTGGCAATTACTACAGAAGCTGAAGTGGTTTGAGACAGCCTCACTCTGAACAGCGCCCATACATTTTCTCTCATTATCTGACAATTTTTGTAGATCAATGATTTTTTCTCCCAGTATGTATTTTTATAAGTCAATTAACTGGTGTAGACTCCAGTTTCCTTATTTATAAAATTTAAAAAGCCAAACTAGATGCCCTCTATGACCTTCCTGGCAGCACACTTCTAAGGCCGAAGAACAGGCCACCCTTTCTTCCTTAATATTTGACTTTAAGCAGAAGTATATGAAAATCACTTCTTATTAGACAATCCGTACAAAATCGTATTTTTAAAATGTGCCAAGTTCCTCAGGAAGTCTCTTTGCTCCTGGCCAACGTCTTGTTCCACAAGTATAATCACTGAGGTAATAAGAGAGTGAAGGAAGTGTTCATTGGGAAAATATTTCTATACTTTGAGAACTCAAGTAGAAAACTTCAAGCACTTAACTGTAAAGAGACATACAGAAAAATATCATTTGCATATTAAAACAATTATATAATTCAAAAAAAAAAAAATCTAAGTACATACTATTTCATTAATCCCACTGAGTTTGCCTGAAGTAAGCTTTGGTCTGGAAGCAGGTCTTGGAGGTGGGACGATGGTGCCTACAGAAAGAGGTGTTGTAGGCCTGGCTGGCGGGGAGAGAAAAGAATTTAAAGAAAATCATTACTATCTAGCAATGCTTACATAAAGACATTCTATTATAAAGGAACTGTTAGGATTCAAAGGTCATTTTTCAGCAGATTTTTAAAAAATTAGAGATGTTTGTTGAAATTTTGGGAATCTATCAAATATGCTTTTTTCAAAGCTACCCATAATATTCTCGAAAAAAATTAACATTTCAATAAAACTGACATATAAATTTTATTCCTGTTTCGATTATTTATACATATAAAAAATTAAATCTGATAAATTAGCTGGTGAAAATAAACCAATTTAAGGCCAAAGGTCATTAGTTTATTGCCAACATCTACTTTATGGACAGTAATGCAAAAGCAAGACTTTGAAGCTATGCCTTCAGAATAGTAACGTGAACTCTAAATAAAACAATTAACACTAAATAAAACCTTAATTAAACTTGTTAATTTGACTTTTAAGTTGAACCATATTGTAACATTTTGGGGGGATAATTAAAAGCATTAAAAATATTCTATTCACTTACTAAAAAGATTTCCCCAAATCACAATTAATTTTGGTAAATTTTTGAAATAATACCTTAACTTTTCGTAAGTCATATATAAATTTAATGTTTACTGTTTTTCAATGCCATTTGCAAATTTTACAATTTTACAAATCAGAAATACCAGTATTCCTAATTAAGAACAGCTTATGATAAAAATTACTGAATAAAATTCAAGTGTGTATCTTCAAAAGTCACAAATGTGTTAGCATAATCAAAGCAGGAATAGAAAAATGGAAGCAAATATGTTTAAATTATCTTCAAAATCATTTTTAATCAACAATAATTAATTTACATGATCTTCAAAACTCTTTGGTCCACTCTAAAATATGGGCTACAATTCAGAGACTGAAAAATATAATGGATGGGAAGAAACATATTCAGCATGTTCTATAAGTTTACAGATATGCAAATTAAATATACATAAATGGCCCTAAGTATATACATGGGGAAACAAACTGTAAAGCTGAAGGCCAGCCCTTGATTGTCAATGAAGCAATGGAGGCATGAAAGGAAGGGGCATGGAGGTGGTAGGAAGAGACCTGAAGAAAAGGGTAGTCACAGAGGATTGAAAGTAAATGCATAGAAGATAGGGAATCATTTAGAAAGCCTATCACATAAAGGGATAAAAGATGCAAGCTTAGTTCAAGTTGCTCCAGGGAAACAAAAAAGCTGATAAAAAAAAATCAAGTTTAGCTTCTGAGGTTGCTTTCTTCCACGTCAGCATCAGTTCTTTCATGCTGCACTCACACTTTAAGTTGCACACTGGCAGAAATGTGCACTAAAATCTGAAGACTATACACTTCCTTATGTATGACATATCTACCTTAAAGATATGTTCATTATCAGCACTAACTTACACTCTTAAGTTATTTCAAGTTTGTGAGAGAGCTTAACACAGCAGAGGCATTTACATCTGAAGTTTCACTATGGATCAAGTGCCTTGTCCAAATGGCATTTAGATTCACTCAAACAAACCTGGTAGAAATACCAAGTTTAGCTCCTTCAAACAGTAAGAATTTGCTTTTTGAGGCAAGCTAATAACAATACTTATTAACACCACTGTTTATAAATAAATCTATATTATATCTGCATATGTCAATTAGGCACTACTTCTAGAAGCCCCTGGAGGAGATAACTATTATACAATTGCTTACATTCTTAAGTGTCCTAATTGTGTTTGGTTTTTGCTGGTGGTAGTGCTGGTGGAGTTCACTGCTTATCTATTAGATGCAGTGTTTCAAGAAATATAAAGTGGCCATGACCTGTGAAGTATAAAAACATAGGAGATAAGAACTAATCTATATCTGCCCTCATACATTACCTAAAGGGAACAGACAGTGCATATTTGCCATTCCATTCTTCATCTGAACAAAAGCGGAGACCAATCTAGAATCCAGAAGTGATGACAATGTAGAAGGACCAGCAGCATCGTTAGCTTCTTCTGTCAGTAATTTTTTAAGACATGTAATATTATGGCAAAAGTCACTTTGATCCTCACAGATCCAACTGTTAGAAGACATCCCATCCAAAGCATCAGAGAACCCAAAAATATTTTCTGCTTTACAATGCAATCTCTGGAATGCCTTCTGCGCTACACTGTAATTATTAATTGTGACAAGTTCGTCAGTAAAGAAAATCCACTGATTTTGTGACCATGAAGAAAAAGGAAACTTATCTGTGCTCTCTGGTGGTGCTGTTATAGCAGGATAAACTAGAGTTAGGGGAAAAGTTTGATGCTGGGCTTTCTAGACCAAAATCTGACCTGGTTTCAAGTGCATTTTCAATTATCATACACCTAGGCAAATGAGTGGGAGAAGAAATGAAATTCCCTATTCTGCTCTTTAAGGTCAGCTGAATAAGAAGAAAACAACTGAAAACCAGAAACAACAGGAACACTGTACAACTAAGATATAAATCTATTATTACTTGAAACTAGAAAAAGTTAATAATACATGGAAGAAGAACATGAGTTCGAATTTTATATTAACTGAGGAAAATAAGCATAGGAAACTTAAAATGCAAATATGAAAAAAAATATGAAGAATTGAAGGTCCAAAATGATACAAAGTCAGAATTATTCCTGTTTCCTCAAAGGAGCAAAGGTAACTATAGCAGCAGTACAAGGTCTAAAAGGATTTGACACCGTGGCAAAGTGATAATGCTGTGTATGTGTGGTATGCAGCAAAGTTCATGACTGCCTAGTGATAAAACTGTCGTAAGTTGTACTAAATCAGCATTGGAGTTAATATTAAAAACCAGCCTATTATTTTTCAAAAGAGAATTTTAATGGGTTTTTGCAGACCACAAGAGCTCAATTAATCCACGGATAAAGAAGAAAATGGTCTACAATGGCACTTACCGAACGGCAGGTAGGTATAAGATATTTATGTTAAATTTTTTAAAAAATACATACATGTATGCTTATTTATAGTCTACATGGTACACACGATGTAACTGAAATTACTTTCTAACTAAGCTCTAAGCAATCTTTTTAAACATGTAACAACACTGGAATGCTTAACCCATCAGTTATTAACTGATTGGTTGGAATTATTTTCTTAGAGTGCTTTAGCTAAAATGAGGTCACTGATAAATTAAGATTCTGAAAGAGACAGAGGCATGTAGAGAATAATCTCACAACCTGGACCTCGCTAAAATGTGAAAATGGGTACCTGAGTAAAGATGGGAGAGGAGTGTATTGCAAAAAGTGGTGGAACAGAATTTAAGATAAAATGCCTATTTCATAATTTCACTTTAGGGCCAGTTTTGTAAAACAGGAGAATAACAACAATGAACTGATCAGTTTGATCAATAATTATATTCTGTTTAAGTGAAGACTTAATAGTAATTATTATATAGCAGGATAATTGTCTCTTTTGAGCACCATTAATATTTTTTAAAGGACAGAATAATTTAAGACATTATTTTTCATACTTTATAGGAAGGTTTAAAAATGCATTCTGGAGTGAATTAAAAAAACAGCAAAAGGTTAATAAATGTTTTATCATTTCCTAGATGCTAAACATTAAATGACCACTAACTGAAAATGAACCCCTTTTTTAACCTGAAGTGATGGTGATATGGCCAAAACATTGTTAAGAGATAGGTATTCGCTCTGTTGCCCATGGCTGGAGTGCAGTGGCACAATCATAGCACTCATTGCAACTCTGAACTCCTGGATTAAAGCAATCCTCCAACCTCAATCTCCTGAGTAGCTGGGATTACCGGCACATGCCACCATGCCTGGCTAATTTTTAAATTTTTTATAGAGACAGGGTCTCACCCTGTTGGTTGCCCAGGCTGGGAAACATTCTTTAGACAGGTAGCAGGAGGAAGAGACAGTACTTTCTTGAAAAGAAAGAGATTGTACTAAAGAAAATAGCAAAAAATAATGAACAGAATTATGAAGAAGTTTCTTTTTTTTTTTTTCTGAGACAGAGTCTCGCTTTGTTGCCCGGGCTAGAGTAAGTGCCGTGGCGTCAGCCTAGCTCACAGCAACCTCAAACTCCTGGGCTCAAGCAATCCTTCTGCCTCAGCCTCCCAAGTAGCTGGGACTACAGGCATGTGCCACCATGCCCGGCTAATTTTTTTTCCTATATATATATATATTTTTAGTTGTCCAGATCATTTCTTCCTATTTTTTAGTAGAGACGGGGTCTCGCTCTTGCTAAGGCTGGTCTTGAACTCCTGACCTTTGAGCGATCCACCCGCCTCGGCCTCCCAGAGTGCTAGGATTACAGGCGTGAGCCACCGCGCTCGACCAAGAAGTTTCTATATAACTAAAGCCTCTGTGATAGAATTTGAAAATTGTTATTAAACATTTTGATAAATAATTGATAAAGGGATATTAACAAGATTTTAAAATACTGTTTAGAACTCTTCATTCTAAATATAAAACTTCATTTTGACATTTTTACTATATAAAAGAGACTTAGCAATAACTTCAGTTTTTCCTGTATAAGTACTTTCTTCATGTAATATATTTCTAAGGTTACTAAATAGTAATAAATGCTAATTGAGAAAGACTATAATGACACTTCAGAATATTATCAACTATATATTGACTCTTTCTTGCTGTTTTACAAGTATTAGGTATAGATTACCCTCCCTTCAAAATTCCAAATAGTGTTCAGAGTTAAAGTTTCCTATAATTCATTTGTAGTTAAAATATTTAGTCTCTACACAGTCTAATTTTAAATATTAATATTTATTTTATTATTAATAGTGAGAGGTTTCAACATGTTTTTTTTTGTTGTTAATCTGCCAGAGTGTGATAGATAGGACAATACTTTTAGAATTAGTAAGAGCCAAGTTTGAATCTTGTTTCCATCATTTATTAGCTATATGATCTTAAAGAAGTTACTTATCATCTTTGAGCTTTACTTTTTTCATCTATAAAATAGGGAAAATAAAAAAAAACATCATGTGGCTGTTAATGGGGTAAAATTAAACAAAATGTGCATAGGTCCTAGCAAAGTTACACAGCATGAACTCGATAGATTTAAGTTCGCTCCGCATAATTCCAGCACTTCCTTAACCCCAGATACTGTACGGCAATTCTGAAATCCCAGAGACGAGGGTACAAGATTGACTTAAAATGATTTTCTTTTCTTGTTTTGAACAAGCAGTGGTTTTAATATACATACATTTTTGATGCCTGCTTTGATTTTTGACTAATAAGAAATTGTATTTTGAAGAAAAGAAAAAACCTACTCTTGCCTAAACAACTAAAAAACACTCATCATGGTCTTTCATACGTTGTTTTTGAAGTGTTAAAGCCTTTCTAGAAAGCAATTTGGCAATAAGTATCAATGGGCATATTGTGTGACCCATAAATTTTATATTGATAAATTATTACAAGGATATTATGAAACACATGCACAAAATTTGTTATTTCTATGGATGTTCGCAATACTAGAAAATTAGATACAATTTGAATGTCCATCAAGAAAGGACTGGTTACGTTAACGTGTATTTTGCATTTCAACTATCTATAAACAGTAAGATTATTTGAGTAACGATATGAAATGACGCCTAGAAATAAATATATCAACTTTTAGAACCCTTGGTATTTGATAAATTTTTATTGTTTCAGCCATAGGGTCTTTAAGCTAAGATAACAAAACCAGTATAAAATCACTTTTATCTGGCAATATGAACACAGGACAAATTTTTAAAATTTTTGATCATTAAGTATAATGCACAAGTAGTGAATAAATGAGGAAAAAGTAACTATTGTATTCTTCAGTTAAAAATATATATATATTTACCTGATGATGACGAAGTTAGTGAAGATGAAGAAGATGAATCAAGAGATGGTCCAAACAGGGGGTCCCAAGCAAGTAAATCACTGGTCCCTTTCCTATCATAACAGTTAAAAAATAAGAATTTTAACAAAAGAATATTTTACTAGTATAAAATCTAGTCACTTATTTTTATTTCATAGAAAGAATTCTAACAGTTCAATATACCTGATTAAAATGTTGGATATTCTGCCAATGCATGTGAAGAAATTTAATTAACAGATTTAATAAGCCAATATTCATTAATTGCCATAAGCAGAACCTACAAAAACATTATGTGAAGTTGGTAGGGGAGAGTGGGGATGATTAATCTCCACTGATCATGCCTTGTTAGACACTAACAACCTTGTGGGCTATCAGAATGGGAATCATAATTTCAGCTTTACAAAAGAAATGCACCATAGTCTAAATGAGCTGCCCAAAGACACACAGCTACTTGATTCTAAAATAGTCTCAGGTCTGCTGATTCACATGTAGCACCCAGTCTTGAACAAAAATTTTAAGTGATACGAAATTGGCTAGAAATTTTATAAGGCCATATTTATTTTCAAAGATGAAAAAGAACGGTAAAGTTTTTTTTTTAAGTCCTTTTTATGTACCAAAAGGTGATTTAAATATTTTAATGTATCAAATTGCCATTATTTAAAAAAAATACTTTAAGAAATCTTACACAGAAAGCAGGCCCACTAATCAAAATGTTAGAATTATCTAAAAGTATCTCAACATACACCTACATGAAAGCACATTACACCTTGTATGATAAAGCCTAGCATTACATTGCATAAACGATTCCTAAAACCAAAGTTTTAAAACACTGAACAACCTGTCTTTAACAATGATAAATCCAATAAATACCACCAATGTACTCAATTAGTGCCTCAAAAGTGTCAAATAATTTTCAAGTCTCCATTTAATCAAGCCTATTTTTATTCGAGTAAAAAACATTAACTCAAAGAATTATTACTGACAGGGACCCATACAGCTTACTTATATTTTATTCTTTTTAGGAAGATCTCACAATGTGCCCTCTAGATCTCCCTTTTCAACTTAATTGAGACATTTCCTCATTTTTAAGCTGATGAACTATAAAGTCAATTTCACAAGATCGCAGTCAAAACTGAAGGAAGAAATGAGAAAACTTCCCTAACAATAAAGACTTAAAATACAGAAATTTATGAATTTAGGATACCATCATTTATTTAGAAGCAGTGAGGCCACCACGGCCAACTACAGTTGAATGGATTTAAAAAAAAAATCATTGTAAAAGGAAATATGATCAAGTGAGAAATAATTTAAAGCATCTAAAAACTCCTACATGGCATTTCACAGTTTAGAAAACAGGATGATTAACACTTTACTAGAACTGAAACTGTAAAGGCAGTAAGACTCTTTAAAAAAGGACAAAAGAAGGATACTTAAGTGTGGTATGGAAGAAGGGATGAATAGGGGAAGCACAGAGGATTTCTGGGGCAGTGAAAATACTCTTTTTGATACTGTAATGGTGGATACGTGTCATTGTACATTTGTCCAAACCCACGGAATGTAGGTACAACACCCACAGTGAACCCTAATGTAAACTATGGACTTTAGGTGATTATGACATGTCGATGTACGTTCATCAGTTGTAACAAATATAACACTCTGGGTGAGAGATTTTGACAGGGAGACTGGGCATATGTAGGGGCAGGGACTAGATGAGAAATCTCTGTACTTTCCACTCAATTTTGCCATGAACCTAAAACTGCTCTAAAAAATAATGTTCACTTTTTTAAAAAATTAAAACATAGAACTTACTCATTAGGTACAGCGGATGGCTTTGATTTTAACTCCTCATCTAATTAAAAAATTAAAATATTATGAAAAAATTCATAATCTGAGAAATAAAATATTTTAATGAAAAGAAAAACTCTACACATATATCTCAATACTATAGCAATAAACTTTGGAACTAATAACATAAATATAAACAATCATAAAGAAAACGTAAATAAACTTTTAACAACTTTTCTATCATGTATATTAAAATAATAGCTGAATTTCTATTAAATTTTTATCAGTTCTAACATCTCTAGTAAGAAATTACTTAAGTCAACTAAACTATGATATTTCTTAAAATAAAACTGCTGTTTAGAAGACAGAAAATATGGACTGCAACTTCAAAAATTAGAAGAAATGCTTAAATACATAAATTTTACTCAAGAATTTGATGAATCACGAAAGCATTTTTTAAGTACTAAGAATTTTATTAATGTTTATTATATTGACCAAAAGTAGTTATGACTCTTGAAGGACAACCTATTTTGAAAAATTAAAAATTTTACAGCAACCTGGAGCAACAGCCCCTTTATAAGACAGTCTGGTTTTGCTACCTTTTGCATTTATAATGTGACTCATTTCATAAGCAAGTGGTAAACAGGGAAGATCATCAGTAATGTGAAGGTCATGTTGGTGCATAAGCCATTTTCCCTGCACCTTAATGTTTTGCATCACCAAGCAATAGCTGATGAATGCAAAGTACATCAGTATGGGTAACTGCCACAAACTATGGAGGAGTACCACACTGAACACGATGCCCATTCACACTATCTTCATTTGGCTCAGTGTGGATGTTTCTTCTCCCTCAATATGCTTACTGTGCTGTTCTGTAATCTTTCTGCATTTTGCTCTCATCTCCATAACTCAGCAGCCTCCACTTACCCTAATTTTCCTCACATCCGCTATCATCAAGCAACCATTAACATTTCTTTTTTAGAGGTAAAATCCTTAGTTTTATTTCGGTATTTATTTTGAATCTAAATAGGTATTTTTAACTGTGATAGAATTTTTATTAGGATTGATGTTATAACTTTTGCTAAGCATTCTGTTAACAAAATTGCATAGCTTTCAAGTGGGCTGCCTCAACTATTTTTCCCACAACCCTTGTTATTTTTATTTTTTTAATTAATTTATTTTTTTTTTGAGACAGTCTCTCTTGGTCGCCCTGGGCAGAGTGCAGTGGCATCATCGTAGCTCACTGCAACCTCAAACTCCTGGGCTCAAGTGATCCTCTTGCCACAGCCTCCCAAGTAGCTGGGACTACCAGTGCGCACCAGCATGCCTGGCTAATTTTTCTGTTTTTAGTGGAGATGGACTCTTGCTCTTGCTCAAGCTGGTCTTGAACTCCTTAGCTCAAGCAATTCTCCGGCCTTGGCCTCCCAGAGTGCTAGGATTATAAGCGTGAGCCACTGCGCTCGGCCAACCCTTGTTATTTTTAATGCATGATTCTACAAAGGGTGTTAACATCCTAGAAAAATTTACAATATTCAAAACCATATAATAGAAATTTCAATTGCGATATGACTTAAAAATAGGTAAAGCTAAAAATTATTCATCTTATATAAACACCTTCTGGTTCATGAGACAGAGTAAGCTGTGAAACAGTTTAACATTCTTAATCAGAAGTTACTTTTTGGCTTTGTTATTTCTGAAAAAAAGTTGTAGCCATGTATTAAAAGTTTAAAGCATGTCTCTTAGCTCTACAGGAAATAATACATATGAGTACTTTTCTGTTTAAATCATTCTAGTCAGTCATTAATGCTCATGATGAGAAAATATCATTTATTTCTATAGCTACATAAGGCTACAAGATTAACAAATTCACTGATAAATTTTAATAGAGTAAAATAATCAATTTAAATGTCAAACTTACTAGACGAATTCCGATTCATCTGTACCTAAAACAGAAATGCAAAAACTAGGTAACATTAAACTAATAATTTATTTTGGTAATGAAATATTTGGTAAAATGTTAAGACTGGGAACCTAACTTTAAGTTGTTTTTAGTGTATCTGCTCAAGTATGTCTACATAAAAGATATACAGAAATAACTTTCAGTAGCTTTTTACAATAAAAGAAAATAACACATGTACTTTTAACACCCAATAAAATGTTTTTAAAATATTAAAACAATATCTACAGCAAGATATTTTAACTTGCTAATATAAAAATTTAATACAAATACTTTAAAAATCAATATCCAAACATTACAATAATAAAAAGTCAATGGGCAAAAATGCAAAATCTTGTACTTACTGGACTGTGTCTCTAGTAGTACATGGAAGAAAAAAGAAAATCAGTTTAGAATTTAAAATATCATATTTTCCTGCTCTAATAATTTGTCTATTCCCTTCTGAATCATATTTAAAATATGTATACCTTAAAACACATAGATTGTTAGGGGGAAAAAGTTAGCAAACTGGGTAAAAAAATATACTCAAAGATATCATCTTTTCAAATGTAGTACTGTTAAAATTTTTCTGATTTTTATTTATTTTTTGAGTATGAAATTAATACATGTTCACTGTTTTGAAAACAAATAGAAAAGAGATTCATAATGGGGAAAATCTTAAACCATCCATGATCATACTACCCAGAAATAGATGTATACTATTTTGGTATATATTCCTCTAGGCTTTTATTTATTTACATATATTTTTAAAATTAGGATGGTCTTACACAAAAAAAATTTTTAATTGTTCACAACCTCCTACTTCATATATACACCATATTTAAAGCGATTCTCTTTATAATTCAAAATTAATCTTAATGTTAAATAGTAATGATACAATAAAATCTCACTTCTGAAACCTTTAGGTGGGAAATAATAATTCTAAAATTAAATTCTAGAGTGCATTAGAGAAAAACACTTTCTTCCCAAACAAATATAGACTACTTAAAATATATAATTAGATAACAATATGAAATGTTAAGACTTTTATTCTCCATTATCAAGGACAAATTTAGTATCAATTATGATAATCATGTATAGATATATTTGTTATTCTAAGACATGCTTTTTTTCCCCATAGTGCAACATTTCTGAAGTTAGAATATTACAACATTAATGGAAAGAGTTATTACAGTAATGTTTTATTTATTCCCCTACAGCTATTAAGTATGGTATTTTAGAATTGAGGAATTAACCATTATCACTAAGAAATCTCATCTTTGCCTTTCCTTGTATGAAAAGTATGGGAAAACAAATGTTGCAGTGACAGACAAAAAAAGCAAAGATAAAATTTAATCTTTAAATCATGTTTGTGGAATTCCCCTTTACATAAGGCTCATAAAACATAAAAAAACTCTAAAATTAGATGAGGAAAAGATCAACACCACCAGTTCACAAAATTCTGCCTGAGACATACAGCATTGTTTATAAAATACAAAAAAATGACAGAAATAGTGAATTTTCTACATCTTCCCTTTCTTGGGGTATTTCTACAATATTTCTACAAATACTTCTACAAATACTTCTATTTCTATAATACTTTCGAAAGCAGGCAAAACTAAGCCAAACTCACAAGTTTACTTGCCTGTATAAAAAATTATAAACTAAATATTTCCTCATCCAAATATGCTTAACAACTGTTAAGTAATGTTTTGTTTTCTATTATTCCTAAAATTAACCAAACACAGGTAGATGAGATAAGAAAAATAAAGATTTCTATACAAAGAATACAAACTTGTTCATGTTCTTACTTACAGATATTGCTGGAGAGAGTGTTATATTCCCTATAGACACTTTCAATTCATCTAAAGAAGCCATTGTGTGATGGGAGTTATTTGGATGTACAGGCTTGATTTCTATCCGATACTTCTTTGGTTCTTCATCTTCAGAGTCAGAATCACTAGATGAATAGAAATGGTTCTCTTTGGTATGTGAGTATCAGTTAAAGAATTTAATTTTTTTTTTTTTTAAATTATGGATTGCTAAAGTTTTTTTTTTTTTTTTCCAGTCTGTTGCCCCGGCTAGAGTACCATGGCATCAGCCTAGCTCACAGCAGCCTCAAACTCCTGGGCTCAAGCGATCCTACTGCCTCAGCCTCCCAAGTAGCTGGGACTACAGGCACGTGCCACCACGCCCGGCTAATTTTTCTATATATTTTTAGTTGTCCAGCTAATTTCTTTCTATTTTTTTAGTAGAGACGGGGTCTCGCTCTTGCTCAGGCTGGTCTCGAACTCCTGAGCTCAAACGATCCTCCCGTCTCGGCCTCCCAGAGTGCTAGGAAAAGAATTTAATTTTTAAATTACCTTAGTGTAAAATCAGTTTTTCACACATTTATAAAAAGGAACAAAACCTTAAGAGTAATATAGACTTTAATGGAAATAAAACTACTAACTTATGCCAACACAATCCATAAAATACCCAGAGAATGAAAGGATATCATTCTGATTTGCTTCTGGTTTAATACTATAGCCTTCTTCATCTACATCAGGAATGTTCTATGGGAAAAAGGAAAAAAAAAAAACTACTGTAATGACAACTCCAATGTACAAAATTATTAAAGATTAGCAAAACAAACAGCCTTAACCATTACTGAGGAACTAAATCATTTACCAAATATAAACAGGTTAACAAAATTATTAATACTATGGGAAATTACATCTTTTTAGTTAATTTGCTTCAAATCACACTCCATGCTTCAGTTATCTGAAAGAGAAAAGACCTGCAAAATGAAACAGGAGAAACACAACTCATGATTTCAGGGCAAGAAATCGCCAAGGTGAAGACCAATTCACACTGCTCAAAATCTATAATTTCTGTTATGAATCTGGAATAATGTATGATTTTAAAAAATACCATCAAGTGATTAAAAACACATTATCAAGATAAATACTCTTATTGCTATAAGAAGGTCTAAGGAAATATAACATCTAATGCCTCTTTAAGCAGCTTAAAGTGTGGATGAGCTAATGAAACTAAGACAGAGCATCGATGTCTGCCAACATCCCATAAAGAGTGACAACCAGATATCATGAGACAGGAAGACTTGACAAAACAGAACAAAACTAAAAAAAAAAAAAAAAACCTTGAACCTGAATCTGATCAAGTCTCTAGATCCAAATACCAATTTGGTATTCTTTACATAAAGAAGTAAAATACCATACAGTATGGGAATACAAATAGCAAAATCCAGACTAAAGGAAACTACAAAACAAACCACCCATCTCTTCAACAAACAAAGGTAATAGAGAGAATGCCATTAGAAAGTTAGACAGAGAGGAAGAGAAGCAGAACCTATAGATCAAGAGAGACTTAAAACATTTACCAACAAATTCAAACAAAGTGTAAAGAAATCAAGAGATAATGATAAATATAAATATTGAATGATTATTTAAAAATACTAAAGAGAACTTGAGCAAGGAAAATCAATGGGCAGGATTGGCTATAGAAAGTTGTTGGGGCTAACTGTTAAGAGACAACTGTTAAGAGCCCCAACATGAGAGACCATGACGGCATTATATGTATTTTTTACCTTTGTTTAAAATTCTTCATAATAAAAAGTTAAAAATAGTCCTAGCTGCAAGTACAACAAACAGCAGAAGTTGCTAAATACTACATTTCAGACAGAAATTACTTTCAAAGCATTTTAACAGCTTCAAGAAGGGGCTTTCTGTTCACATCATAAAATTCCCACAGGTGGAAAGAGCACTGCAAAAGAAAAGAAATAACAGACACAGAAATGCAACATAGACAAGTTTAGGTATTAAGGAAAAGTTTCTGTCAAGTTAAAGGAAACTGGGCATACCTGAAAGTGGAAGAAGAGCCAATAAATATAGATACTGCAGGAATGAGAGGAGATAAAATGGGAACAAGGTCCTCTAAGAGTAAGGAAAAAACAAGTTAAGACAAAGAGGCCTCTGTTCCTCAGGGACTAGGAAAAAAATGAAAGGAAGAAAACAGGTATTTGGGTAGAAATACCAGCAGTTTTGTGGATAACCAATTTTTCACTCAAATCTTCAAAGTGAAGAAATAAAAGGGCAAGACTGTGTATGTCTGGGGCTGGGGTGTGCTGAAGTGAGAGGATTTAAGTAACTGGAAACACAGACTGCGAACCAAGAGACAGAAATAAAAGACTACCAAGAAAATTCAAACTACACTAAGATAACCAATCCAAAAGCTTCAAAATACACTCTGTTAGTGAAGCTGTGGGGAAATGCACGTTCATACTTTGTTGGTATAATACAAAATGGTACAATCTCTACAGAGAGAAACTTGGCAATATGTAACAAATCTACACCCATATTTACCCTTTCACCCAGGAATTCCATCTTCTAGAAATTCTCCCTGAAGACACAGTTCCAACTATTTAAAAATACATGTGTACAAGGTTATTCATCAAAATTTATCTGTAACTTGAAATTAATGGAAATTACCTAAATGTCCAAGCACAGCTGAATAACTAAGATATATAAATAAAACGGAGTACACCTGGCCCTTTATATCTGCAGTTACTGCATTTGCGGATTCAACCAACTGTGGATTGAAAATATTCCAAAAATTTTTAAAAACCCAATACAACAGAGGTGTTATAAAGTAAGATGCAGACCATAGCCAAGCTCTCTATCTTCGTCCTTCCTTTTGCTTGCCCTGCTGCGACAGTGGATCCGGTCATCATCTGTGGTGTATGTACCATGCTCTGTAAACCTTTATCTTGCTCTTGCCCTATAATCCTACCTCTCTCTCTCCTCAATAAACCTCATTTTCGTGCTTGCCTAAAAAAACAAAAAACAAAAAATCCAATACAACAATAAAATAATACAAATGAAAATCCAATACAGTAACATTTATATTGTTATCAGATATTATAAGTAATCTAGAGATGATTTAAACTATACGGGAGGATATGTGTAGGTTATGTGCAAATATACATAAGGGACTTAAGCATCCAGGGATTTTGGTATCCAAGGGGGATCCTGGAACTAATGCCCCAAGGATATGGAGGGATGACTGGACTATGAAGCTGGAAAAGAAGAGAAGAGAGAAGAAAGAAGAGAGAAGAGTGAAGAGAGGAGAAGCTGTAAAAAAAAAGAAAGGGGGGAGAAGGGGAGAGGGGGAGAGAAAGGTTTCTATGAACTAATATGGAGTGATTTTCAAGAAATACTGCTAATTGAGAAAAGCCAAGTAGTAAAGAACATATATAGGATGATAACATATATAGGATGATAGGAAGAGAAGATAAGAAAACATACATATATCTGCTTATCTTTATGAAAAAAAATCATCACTGGAAGATAATCAGAACACAATTAAGCTAGTTACCTACAAGGACGGGCAATGGGGTAGAAGAAGGACACATCTCTGAGTATACATTTGTCGGCAGGTAAGGAAATATTCCTATTTCTTTGGAAATATAAGTATTTCGAGACAAAAGGCTATAAGGTATTTTAATTTGTGTCAAATAGATCAGGAAAAAATTATACATACATGTATAGAAAGAATGCAAATGTTAAAGTAAATGTGATAAAAATAAAAATAAAGGGTATAAGTGTATACCCTTGGTATTATTTTATTCTTCCATTTTTTTAAGTTAGAAATTATCTCCAAATAAAAAAATTTTTTAAACGGGGGAAAAAAAAAAAAGAGACTGCCAAGGAATGCCAAGGTATGGCAGCAAAAGTCCTTCCACTGTTAAGGTATGCCATTCTTCCTCCAATCACTTTCTAAAGCTCAGGAAGAGGGATATGAAAGACTGGGAAGGCAGGTGCAGCATAAGGTCAAGGAGAATGGAGAGTAGTATTTACATGACTATAGCTTCCAGACCAAATAAACAGTCTAATGTAGCCAGCAGTGAGCTAACAGATGGAATTAAAAACTAGAAATGAAAAATGTAACGTAGGCTGAAGAGCAGATTCCCTGACAAAAAGATGATGAGGGCCGTATTTATGACACGAGAAGTAGAGCAGTTTGAGCTCTACATATTGCTTGTTAATATGCAAATATTACTTTAAAATACTTTTTAAAAACTGGCTGGGTGTGGTGGCTCATGCCTGTAATCCTAGCACTCTGGGAGGCTGAGTGAGGAGAAATGCTTGGGGTGGCAAGTTCAAGACCAGTCTGAGCAAGAGCAAGACTCCGTCTCTACAAAAAAAAGAAAAATTAACCAGGCATGGTGGTGCGCACCTATAGTCCCAGCTACTGGGGTGGCGGGGGTCACTTGAGCCCAGGAGTTTGAGGTTGCAGTGAGCTATGATGATGTCACTGTACTCTAGCCAGGGTGACACAGTGAGACCCTGTATCGAAAGAAGAAAAGGAAGAGAAGAGAAGAGAAGAGAAGAGAGAAATGAAATTTCGCCAAGTGTAAATTCATTAGAAATCAGAATGAGAAGTTTTTTCAAAATAATTTAACCCTAGTCCAAGTATCCTAGAAACATAACAGGTATTTAGTCTCCTAGAGGTTCTACCTGAGATTTAATAACTGATCCTACTTTAAATTTGTTTACAAGACGCTATATAGTAAGATGTGATAATTTAAAATAATACCAAGCTATTTTCTGTAAGACTGAGTAAGCTGCTTTTGGACCAACCTCCTACAGATTACAACTATAAACTCTGATCAAAATACATAAACAACTATCTGAAGGTAATGGAGAACGACCTACAGCAACCACTAAAATAGCTTTACAAAAGGACTCACTCAAAAACTATAAATAAATCAAAATGGAATTCAAATAACCCATAAGAAGGCAAGAAAAACAACAAAATGAAAACAAAAGAGGAATAAACAGAAAACAAAAATAAAATGGCAGGCAAATTATGACATATCATTAAATATAAATGGTTTAAATGTATCAATTAAAAGACAAATTGACAGAATGGATTTAAAAACATGATTCGACTATATGCTGTCTATAAGAAACGTACTTCAAATATAACAGTATAGGTAGGTTGAACGAAAATGGATGAAAAAATATACCATGCAAACATTAATAATAGTAAAAAAAAAAGGAAAAGAAGTTGTATCTTAATATTATATAAAGCAGATTTCAGAAAGAAAATTACCAAGGTCAGAGAGGGGCATTATGTCTACACAAAAAAATCTATATATAATTGTTCATAGCAACTTTATTTCTAATAGCCAAAAACTAGAAAAAATTAAAATGTCCTACAATAGGTGAATGGCTAAACAAACTTTGGTACATCCATAACATGACACACTACTCAGCAACAAAAAAGAATTTTCATACACACAACAATCTGAATGAATTTCCAAAGAATTGTGCTGAGTGAAAAAAAACAATTTCAAAGGGGTATATACTGTATGATTCCATTTACGTAACATTCTTGAATTGACAAAATTATAGAAATGTAGAAAACAATGTTGCCAGAGGTTAAGGAGGCGCTAAGGAAGGAAGAGAAGTGGCTGTAAAAGGGCAACCAATATGAGGGATCTTTGTGGGAATGGAAATGTTCTGTTTTGATTGAATTAGTGTCAGTACCCTAGTTGTAATACTGCACCACAGTTCTGCAAGATGTTAGCATCAGGAGGAAGGGGTTAACAGACAAGTATACCATACTGTTTCTGTACTATCTTTGTAACCTTCTGTAAATCCAAAATTATTTCGAAATAAAGTTTTTTTTAAAGCAGTGATTCTCACCGTACTAGCTTTTCAACACTAGAACTATTCATAGAAACCTCACACTAATAAAATTTACACATTACCTGTGTACATGGTTACCCAATCCATGGTTTCTACATTAAGGCTCACACTGCTGAAGTGAAGCATTAGGTCAAAGTAATAAGAAGAGGAATAGAGTAGGCAACTTCACTCACCAATCTTATTTTTTTTTTTTTTTTTTTTTTTAGTAGGGATGGGGTCTCACTCTTGCTCAAACTAGTCTCGAACTCATGACCTCAAGCAATCCTCCCACCTTGGCCTCCCAGAGTGTTAGGATTACAGGCGTGAGCCACCACACCTGGCCACACTCACCAATCTTAAAGATAGTTATTGTGGTGGTGGTGATTTAAAACATACATACTAACCACCACATGTACTCACCAGCAAATCGGTTTCATTGATCAACACCTAAGTGCACGTATAGGAATAACATTTATCGGGTGTCAGGCAGATGGGGGGGAAGGGATGGGTCATACATACATAATGACTGCGATGCGCGCCATCTGGGGGATGGAGACGCTTGAAGCTCTGACTGGGGGGGAGGGGAGGCAAGGGCAACATATGTAACCTACACATTTGTACCCCCATAATATGCAGAAATAAAATAAATAAATAAATAAATAAAACATATATACTGAAATGAAGCTCAAGAGTCAATGGAATATTTCTTAATCTCTTTGGAGTGGGGTCATTGGTCAAAACCAAAAAAAAAAAAAAAAGCAATTGGTCAACTTCTAAAAGATGTAGTTGCTCAAAGTAATTTTTTAAAATTACACAGGCCTTTAAAAAAAGGAAGAACAAATGAACAATCATTTCCCTACCAAGATAGCCTATTTTAAAATTAGTAAGACACAGTCATGAATAGGCCATAAGTAAATAATAATAGAATACAAATAAAAGGAAACAACAAAAATGAAAGTCTCTTTTCCCTGCTGACCACTGTAAACCCCCTTCACAATGGTAACCACAATCAAGTGTCTTGTACCTCATTCTTTTAAGAAAAAGATAACACATATACCCATATATTTACATTTTATTTTTAAAACAGTGATCGCTTAAAAGATTATGCTTGCTTTTATTAAGTAGGCTCTTTCCACATCAGCAGACACAGATCAACTGAATTCGTTATATCTATTACCCCATCAAGTGCATGTTTAATAATGTATTTAACTAGTTCCCATTTTGATGGATACTTTGGTGTTTCCACATTTTGCTAATGTAAACAATGTTGAAATAAACATCTCTCTCCTTTCTCTCCCTCACTTTCTATATATGCATATATCTTGATCAAGTGTGTACATGTATGTATACAGACTTTATACACACGCACACATATATATACACATAAACACATAAAGTTTTGTGAATATAGACATGACAGTAAATTCTTAGCAGAGGTATTGCAAGGTCAAAAAAGAACATGTATTTCTTACTTGGGGCAATACTGCCAAACTACCCATAAGATGGATTGTACCAATTTACATTCCTACCAACAGTACGAGTATATAAAAACTTATGCCAATATAATTACAGACTATAATAATGTCATACTAATTAGCATCAGAATGAGACTACTATTTTGAGCGACATTTATTATGGCTATTTACCACTTTTATTTCTTTTTATGAAAATTGCCCATTTTTACCCTATGCCCTTTTCCTACTGGGCACTCGCTTACTTTTTGTACTGATTTGTATAAAAACTTTATAAATAAAAGCAATTAGCCCCTGTCACATGTCTTACAAATATGTTCTGCCACTTTGTCTTTGATGACTTAAATCCTTTTATGGTGTAATTCTTATAATTTTATAAATTTTCATTTCTACATAATCAAATTTATCAATTATTTCTTACATGGTATCAGAATTTTGTTTTCTCTTTTTTCTATTTCAAAATATTACAGGGGTATGAATGTTTTTGGTTACATGTATAGATTTTGTTATGCTTGAGTCAGAGTTATATGTATGCCCACCACCCACATAGTGTTCACTGTACCCATTAGGTAGGTTTTCACCCACTCTTCTCCCTCCTTCCCACTGCTTGATTTCCACTGAGTTTTAGAATTTTGTATTCTCTTTAAAAGCCCTTTCCTAATTCTGGTTAAGTATTGGCTAAAGTTCAAAATTGGATAATACTGATCATTGTAGAGTAGTATCAATTAGCTACTGAGAAAATAAAAAATGTTTTATTTAAAGAGAATATATATAAAATAAAACATCAAGTATTAAAGAATCTTATTCAATGTCACAATCATCAAATAAATGCTACAAGTAATTAATTCAGAAATAAAATGTATGATGAGTACTAAAGTAAATGCCAAAGACATCTGCTGACTTTTCATTAATTAATTAACTAAAGGTATTAAACAAGGGTATTAATTCTTTAGATTAAACTCATCTAATGATTTATGATGATTTTTAACCTCATAACTCATTAGAAATCTATTTCTTATTTTCCATATAAATTTATCAACAAATCATAATTTTATTTTAAAGCTGAAATATGAAACAAAAATACTAGTTTTATCTTACTTAAACAGTATACAACACAATATTTCACAAAATATTTTTAGTTCTTTATTTGGTAAAAGATCAAGATGTTTCTGGGCCAAAGGAAACAATAGTTATGCAAGCAAGAACAATAAGCAAAGGAGAGAGATTGTTTGAAACTCTTACACTGATCGACATGATCAGTGTCTGATGAACAGTTTGAAAAATATGTCTGTCTACACATTACTTACAGCATTTGGTAAATCTACTCTCCCACTGTAACCACAGGGAGCTCCGTTTGATGTCTTCTTTAATTATATATAAAGAAATACATTTAACCAAGAAATATAAACATTCTTTAAAACAAAACAAAAAGCACAGAAAAGTACTGACCATGGTTGTTGTTGTTATTTCTAAAATGACAATCTCTTAAATGAAACTTTAAATGCATGCACAGATAGGCTGTATTTTAACAAAGCTAAGAATAAATTAGTAAGAGTAGCACATTTTAAAACAAAGTACACAGATTTGTATGTGGCATGTTTCCCAAGAAAAAGCAATATGATAAGGTACCACTCCAATTTTAAAAGTAAAATATCCACTTTTCAAAGGTAGTCAGAAATACTTTCTATTTGGCAACATAAAGCCAAAAATGCATCTGGAAAAAATGCATATAGTGAATTTACAATAACATGGTTAATATCTTTCTTTGAAAGACTAGTAACAACTCAATTCAAATATGCTAAGTTTTTCTTAATGAAAACAGCTAATTTAAATTGTTTATATCAAAGTTAAATCTACTTACAAGTGAATCTGCATCAGGGCATTCCCTATTAAAATAAACAAAACATCAGAAATATTCAACTACTAGAACTGTCTGCTAATTATACTATATTTAAAGTGTTTTCCTTGCTAAACATCACTCTATTTAACTCTACAAAAAAAGAAATCAAATCATGAAGATTAAAATATACATTATTTTAAAATTCAAAAGAAAGCATTCCTACACCCATACTACCTGACAAAATAAAACATAAAACAGCTTACAAGTATTTTAAAAACTATTTTCAAAAGTACTTCTTTTTCATGAATATACTCGTACACCATATCAAGGAAGTTGTCATTCCTACAAGACTTTCTAATGGTTTTTCATTGTTCAAGTATATTAAGCTTAAAAAACAAATTTCTTAAAGAAGAAAGCTTGGATTAAAAAAAATCTATATTAGGCAACAAGTAGTCTGAAAACTTAACACCAGTGGGAAAATTTACATTTATTGGTAAGTAACATTTTTAAATAAAACTCTTAGAACACTTTAGTTTCATCTGAAGTACTTTCTATAACTTCATGTATATGGAAGTCAAAACTAGTTTTCTCCAAATATGCTAAATGAGTAGACTTCCAGTTAGAATAACTTTCTAGTCTAATGTAATATGCAGTTGAGAACTGGAATTCTATCATTTAATATTGAATTTGCATATAAGCTGGTGAAAACTATTATTTTATATATAAAACTAAAAGATGACTTAAGTATGTAAAATTAAGGACACTGAGGTCAAGATTAATAAAGTTAGAAGAATTTCTATGTACATACTCCAAAACAAATTCATAAACAAAAACTAGGGTACAGACTTAAAAGATATTTGGACCTTTGACTGGAGACAGTTAATGCATATAATACAGTTTAGGCATCCCTAATATGAAAAGCCAAAATCCGAAATGTTCCACAATCCAAAAACTTTAAAGCACCAACAGGATGCTCAAAGGAAATGGTCACTAGAGCATTTCAGATTTCGCATTTTCAGATTAGGAATGCTCAATTGGATATATTCTGCAAGTATTTCAAAATGTGAAAAAATTCGAAACCCAACACACTTCTGGTCCTAAGCATTTCAGATAAGGAATACTCAACCCATATCAGAATCTATAGAAACAGGTTATTCTCTATCTACCCAAAGACTAAACAAAAACCAGAAAACTCTACAAACTGAAGCATTTTCTTAAAGGAAGATAGGATAAAATGGACTGAAAAAAAATGAAAAGGGAGGAAGATGGCTACACTGCTCTTAATCCAAACTGAAGCACCAAAGGTAAATGCAAACCCCATGTGTCTTAATATCTGTTTGAAAGTCATTTAAAATTTCAAGTTTTGAAATATAGCTTCCTTATTGGCAGATTAGGATTTTATGAAAAAAAAAAAGTATACATACTCTGAGAAAATGTTCCAGAAAAGGCATAATAATAAATTCAATTCTTCTAGAGAATCAAATCAATCAAGATGTCAGGTTTTTTTTTTTTTTTTTAAAGATACAGTTTAAAAGAAGGGTTAACATCACTAACAGTTTATTCTCTGGCTTTAGGCCAGACGATTCAGTCTTTGTGGTAAAGCACTCATCTATTTGCCTTCACAGTGGGCTGTGAAGACCTGTCGATGAAGCTCCAGGAACAGGAAGCTCCGATCCATCTTCCACAATTACAAGCATCTCAAAAGCCTTCAGGCTATGAAGAAGGGGCATGCCAAGAGCCTCTGGCATTTCAAGTAAAATGAATTCTAATATTTTTTGTCCCAAGAAGTTTGAAAGAAAGTAATGATGGCATGGCAGTTTAAGCACTGGCCTTCTGCTTAGTATTCTTGTTGGTAAAAAATCATTTTAAGTGGTTTAATCATCATACTAGAAAATTATTGCTAATAAAAAACTAAAAATATTATAAGTTCCCTACATGAACCATAGTGAAAACCATACATTATAAAAATATTTTAATTTAAGGCCATCATTCTTTACAATAGAGTCACTAACAGATGAACTGGCTACATTTTAAAAATTTACTTACAAATCAATTGTATAGATTTCACTATGTGTTTCCAGTATCATAAGAAGAGATTAGGTTCCACCCCCTTAGCAAAATATCCCTTTCATAATGTTCAAGACATTTGCAGAAAAGATAATTGTAGATATAAATCACTTTGCAATTGCTCTTAATTTGTTAACCAAATAACACTCGGGAATGGGGAAGAGACAAACATTTAGAATGGGAGAAACTCTGAGACACTCGAATAGGAATATAACTAGGTACGAGGCAAGAATACTCAAAGCACAAACTGTTCTCTTATGTTGAATATATGAGTGCTCATCAAAATATTAAATCTCGTAAGAGTTCCACTGATTATGCTAGAGAAGTAGAGTTTTTAAACTAAATTTCAGCCAATGTTACCGGGTAAAGAAATCACTCAAGACTTTTGAATAGTGTCACTTCAGTTTAAACGGATTAAGTAATCATGGAAAGAAAGATTCCTTTAATTCTAGTTGTCTCTGAATAATCACAGCTCAATGATTCTCAGCCCCAGGTGTATATTAAGAATTGCACAAGCTGCTTAAATAAAACAAAACAGAACAAAAACTATACTGGGGTCTCCCACCCACAGAATTTGATTTAACTGGTGGGGCCTGGTATAGGTACATTTATTTTAATTTCCCAAGTAGTTATAATGTTTAGCCAAAGTAAAAAACTTTGTTTAGCTAAATACTAGCTCAATTTCTTATATGCTTATTATGTATTCTTTGTATGCTAATTTCTTATTTTTAAAAGAAAGTAAATGAGACTTGTAAGTGGACCAAATACTCCATCTAAAAATGATGACCTAGGATAAGTGGTAAAACATATTAGGGCCCTCCCACCCATTTAACATTTTCCATTTATGTATACAGATGCCGCTATGTGCCTATATACTTAGAATTGTCTCAAAGGATTTTCATCAAATAGTTGACCAGAGGTTTTCTCTTAGGCATTAAAATTTTGATGAATTTTGCATTTTTCTGCACTTTTGTTTAACTTTTAAAAATATGCATATATCATTTTATAAAATAAGGACATTTTAAAGTAAAGCTTTCATCTATAATGTCTTAAAATTTTTAAATAATTAATAAGAAAAGTTAATACTTCAAACTAAAACTAGAGGAACTGGCAAATGTATTTATTTAGAAAGGTTTATATTTTTCACCCCTTAGACATATACTTTGAGTTATTTCCAAAAGACTTCTTTCTTTCCAAATTCAAAACAGTCTTATTCTTAATGACTTCTAAAAATAAAAGGGATGTTGACAATATTTAATATACTTACACAGATTCTGCATCCTTTTCCTTTTTAATTATTCCCGACAAAGCAAAAGGCTTTCTTCTCCTTGGTTTCATGCCTTTAAGAGAAATGTATTTGTTACAGAAACACAACTGTTCCTGACAAATATATTAAACTTATGAATGTATATTGTATTTTGACACTTAATTTACTCATAATTGCTAATGCTAAACTTAGAAGAAATAAAATTACCAACCACTAAACCCTAGTATTTAAATCACAGTCTTAGTCTGTTTAGACTTTTCTCATGTTAATATTCACCAAAAGATCATAGAATGTTCACTTGATTGATGTAATTCTTTTCTTCTCCTAAGTCCCCCTTAAGTCGCCTCAGGCAAAATAAACATATGGATATATTAATATCTTAAAACTTCACAGAATGTAGATTATTCATTATATTAGATCTTGTTATAAATGTAGTTCAAATCATGTTCCCTTTCTACAGGGTCTCACGATATAAATGTATTGTTTTAAATAAAAAGGTGATACAGCAGACTCATCGGAAGTAAAACACAAAGTTTGTAACATAGCATTCTTGTGTCCATATGTTATCCCTAATACAAACAATGTTACCAATGGATCCTACCATAACTGAGGAGCAAAAATCATCTTTGTTTACCCTAATATGGCAGTTCTTCATCCTCTTCTTGTACAACAAATTATTTTTAAAAGGTCATTCATGCTATTGTTGATGGAATTCAGCACTTAAAGCTTAGCTGCTTACTCTCTGAGAAGTGAGCAGTAGAGCCCTTAGGTCACCTAAGTCAACTCTTCATCTTACAGATGAGGAAATTTAAAGGGTTTTTTGTTGTTGTTTTTTTAAATTGTGTTATATCACTAGGAAATACTACAGCTAGACCAAGAATCCAGGTGTCATAGAGTAATGTACTTGCTATCACCCTAAACCACACATTTGTACAGTATATTACATATTTTAAAAATCTATTTATTCTCATAGTATAGGTATTTATTATCCTTACTTTACAATAAAGAAGTTAAAGTTCAGAGAACTTAAATAATTATTGCTCTCGAATAGCCAGTAAATACAAATAGCCAGCGAACCCAAGAAGCCTAAGTCCCAGGGTTACTACTACTAATAATAATAGGGTTAACAGTAAACTTATCAGATGATAGAAAACCATTTCCCAAAATTCTTACACAGGGCTTGGAAAAAATAGAAGATTGCTTTCAAATTATTTCTAGTAGCTCACAAAGTGAGATATACAAAACATGAACAAAAACAGCAGGCATCTCTTGGGTTTCATTCTATAAAAAACACCTACTTAAATAGGAGTCATACCAGTTGAGGAACCAAGTCAAATCATCACCCATTCTGAATGATGGTACAACTTCATTAATTAATGAAATGTTACTCATTGTAGAATAAGCACTACACATTAACATGTAGTGATGAGTTTTTATATTCATGACATTAGAATGTTTAAAGATAAATGTCAATGAAGAAAAGTTTCAATGTATATTTAAAAATATATATTAATCTTTTAAAATATATAATCTAATACACTAAATATTTTTCTGGGCAAATCTATTGTTTATTATTAGCTAACGATTAGCATCTGCAGGGCCTTCAAACTACATTCAGATTTTTACATCACTCCATAGGTATGCTGATACCTATGAATAGCAGTCCCTCCTAATTCAATGAACAGAAGATACTGGCTAGTTGCCATGTACATTAACATTACAACTAGTCAACTTACCTTCAACTGCACTAGCAGGGTCACATTCTTCAAATTCAATAAGACCTGAAAAAAAAAGTTGAACTTCTAGTAGAAAACAAATAGGGTAGTAAACAATTATCTGATAAATCCCATTATAATACATCTCTTTTTTTACATTTTTAAATTTTTTAATTTTTTAATGTACATCTTTTTAATTGTTCCAAAATGTGTTCCAGTGTTATCTGATACTTAATTCAAATATCAGTAATAATTTTTAAAAAATTAAATAATCCTAACAATTAAAAATAATTGAGACTAGCCTATATGATCACAATAATTTACTAAAAACCCTTCATATGTGGTATCCCAGACCTGGAGACACAGAAATCTAACATGTAGTCTCTGTTTTCAAGGAGCTTGCAGTACAATTGATGAGAGAAAACAAGCTAAAAGGCAGTTGTTGAATCCTTGGTTGTGCTTATGGGAAGGACAGGGGTATCAAGACAGTAAATACTACTAGAATGCATGGTTCGGACATCATCTGTTCTGTTCACCACTGTATCTTCAATACCTAGAAAATGCCAGGCAAGTAGTAAATCATCAGTAAATATTTGCTGGTGGAATAAATGAATTAATTACACACTAGTTAAGTGGTAGCTCTGGGATTATAACCCAGACCTCTTCTCACTGTATAGCAAGTCAAGGAATTAGAACTATAGTTTGCAGGCAATGGGAAAAGTTTTCATGTGAGAAGGTTATACACACATACACCTTGAAAATGGTCTTACAGGAAAATTAATTTAGCACTATGAGGGATAGATTATAGAGAGGAGGAATATAATAAGGTAGAAATCAGTTAGAAAACAATTACGATAGCCATGAAATGACAGAACTGCTGAAAGTAGCCTTATGCCATAAAATATGGTATACTTCACGTATGTGAAATATCTATTTAGGTAGCAGAGAAATTAGCAAAAGCATGAATTACTCTTCTATTAAAATATCACAAAAGCTAAATATCAGACTAAAAAATTATCTCTCACTATCATGTTAGTCCTTTTATATTTAATATAAATCTACGAAAGTCCAGTATTTTTGTGAAATAATTTTTAATTTATTAATGGTAATTGGTATAACTTGCTATATCAAGAAATTTTAAAATAGTGCTTGAAGTAAAGAGTAGATAATAAAGGATTTCGTTACTGGTTCTTCTGAGATGTTAAGCTTAATTATTAATACAACTATGTGCAAATTCATGATCAGCATTCTCATTGATCATTCCATTATAAAAGAAAACCACTGATTCACAAGAAAGATTTCTCTAACAAGCAGAAGGATCTAAAAATGTTGGCTAAATATCCCTCTAATTCCCCCTAAATCTAAGATTTATTTCTATTTGGTCTCAGTCTCCATTCAACTAAAATAGATTAATATTTAGTGATAAGCAGAATAACTAAGATAGTCATAAAAGTGACTGATAAACTAATCAATTGATTATTAATATCTTCCTTACTAGAGCATTCTTCTATATATACATCATTTGACCAAGAAAAAAAATACATTTATCACTTCTACCAAAAGCAAGCCTCAAAGAGTCAAAAAAACAACCCAATTAAAAATTTAAGGGCTTTATTCGAGCCTACTCTGCAAATCTGGAAGCTGAGAAATCATTTAATGAAAGGGTACTAAGCTTGTTTGCAGAATCCCTGAGAAGTCTATATTAAAGATTTACAATGAGATGAGGACAGACTGAAAAATCAGTAAGGGTAAAGAATTTAGGTATGTGTATCTCATAATTAGTAACTTTTTACTTGGTATAAAAATTATGAGGAATGAAAAATCTCCATGTAAATTACCAGCAGCTTATTATGTATTATTGGCTTTTCTAAGTACTAATAAAGCTTGAGAAAATATAACCATCTGTCAAATCTGAGAAAGAATTTAACAGAAACAGGCAACCAGAAATGTTGCCTACAGTTACACAGCACATAATATGTACACATTAACTATTTACAGAATCTCTAATACTCAAGCAATAGGCTTCTTGGGGTGAGGGGGGTAGTAAATAAAAATAAAAACAAAACACCAATGTCAAACAAAATGCATTGTTTATAAGTAACAAAAAAAATAATATTTAGAAGGACTTTTACAACTAAGCAAATATGGTATATATAGAAAAAGATCTTCAGATGACTTCATATATGTGAAAATAGTAAAGACATTCCTCAACTCTATAGAATCAACCTCTTCAAACAAAATTCTACATTTTTTCCTCACAAAACCTTTTTCTATACTAGACACATCTTGATTGTTCTTCCTATCTTTACTAAACATCCTCTTAAAATCCATTTGAAATAGAAAAATGTTCAATAAAATATTCAATAAAAAACATTTTAAAATATAAAATGCTAAATCATTTCAAATCATTAAATACATATAAAAAATTTTAAATTGAGTACCATCCACATAAACTTTTCTATTAAAGACAGAAATACTAACAGTTTCTGGTACAATAAAACTAAATATACCCTTTAAAAAAAACATTAAATCAAGCATGAAAAAGATTTTCTTTTTCAAATGGCATATGCTCCACATGCTGCTTCACATGGCAAGGCTTTGCGTGCCTGGCTCAGTGCCAGTTGACAGCTCAGCTGGATATCAATGCACATTCTGACCCCCCTTGTAGCGTGTCACTTCTGAACTGTTTCACAAGTGGAAAGTTTATTCAGCATCTCCCTCAAATGCAGTCCACTGCCCATCATTCTGCTATTTAATCATAAGACAAGTTATTTTTTTTGACAGTACTAAAGCCAGAGTGAGAGTCTTAATGAATAGTTTGCTACAAACTGGAATTTCAACTGTTTTAGACTCAATTAATTCTTTTGTCAAAATAAATAACTGCTTTTAGCACTTAGATTTTATGCTGGGTCACAAGGGCAATTTAGTTTGTATAAAAGCAAATAAAACCATTTTGGCTCTGTCTCCTGATGCTCTTTTACACATTTTAAAATGCCACGATGAGTTCAATTAAACTCATAGAACAGAAGAACTCTAAGAAGTCAATGATTCAAAGCAAAACAATTTCTAAATATGCTTTAATCATCAGGTAGGAATAAATTATTGCTATTAAAAAAAAGACATCAACCTAAAGAATTCATTCAAACCTATTCTGGATCAAAACTTTTAAGAAATGGTTACAGGAGAAAAAGCAATTTATTTAACAATCTTTAATCACTACAACTTTTTTGTGGAATGAGGCAGAGTATAAAATATGTGAAATATTTAATTAATAGTCCCTGTTCTAGAATCAATCCTAAATCTTGGGCCACCAACAGGGCAAGTTTATAACTTTGTCTAGTTAAAAACTGGCCTCAAAACTCACATAAGGGCCGGGAGCGGTGGCTCACGCCTGTAATCCTAGCTCTCTGGGATGCCAAGGCAGGCGGATTGTTTGAGCTCAGGAGTTCGAAACCAGCCTGAACAAGAGCGAGACCCCATCTCTACTAAAATTAGAAAGAAATTAATTGGACAACTAAAAATATATAGAAAAAATTCGCCGGGCATGGTGGCGCATGTCTGTAGTCCCAGCTACTCGGGAGGCTGAGACAGGAGGATCACTTGAGCCCAGGAGTTTAAGGTTGCTGTGAGCTAGGATGATGCCACAGCACTCTAGCCCGGGCAACACAGTGAGACTCTGCCACAAAAAAAAAAAAAAAAACTCACATAAGAAGTCTGGCCTATTCAAATCAAGCATATTTCTGCATATTTCCAATTAAAACCAAAGAAGAACACGATTCTAATTAGAGTTAAGGTAAAACATACAAACACACTCGGACACACAGCCAAAGTCTAATAAAAGGAAAGATGATAATGAAGGGGGGGTGTGTGTGCAGAGAGAGCTGTGACTCATAACAATGGAAGTCAATGACTGCATTTTCAAGCTTGCTCCTGGGCTTGTGGAATGCAACACAGCCACATTCCCAGATGCCTAGGATGATGAACCTGGCAAGCTAACACACACACAAAAAAGAGAATCAAACTCTAGCTTGTGGTGATAAGCAAAAGGCACGGAGGCTCAAGTTCTGGTTTTGGCACTTGTTTGCTGGCTGATTACCTCGGACTGGTTACCTAACCTAGACTGTATCATTTATGAAAGGGGGATGGTCAACAGTAATGTATTTTTCTGCATTTGCTTTTTCTCTCTCTACAACATGGCCATAAACACACTGTTTTTTTTTTGCTAACTTATTTGAAAGTTGCAGGCACCAATGACACTTCACTTCAGAGGTATCTATTTTAATAAAGGACCTATAGAAACAATTTCCTCAATTCAGTGGTCCCAAATCCCCCTGATCATCAGAAACTTCAAGTGTAATGGTTCTCAAACTATATGAGAATCACCTGAAGGGCTTATAAAACCACAGATTGCTGGCCCCACCCCTAGAGTGTCCCTTTTGGAAGGTTGAGGGTGGTGCTCAAAAATGTGCATTTCAAACAAATTCCCAGGTGATGCTCTGGTAATGGAATCATACTTTGAGAAATACAGTCCTAGGAGATCCCTGGCCATTGCCAGATACTCAGTAACTATAGATAGTGTTTCTCCAATTATACTGTGCATACAAATCACCTGGGCATCTTATTAAAATACAGATTCTGATTCAATAGGTATGGAATAGGGTTTGAGATTCTACAGCTATAACAAGCATCCACGTGGTTAATGCTACAGGTTTTCAACAATGGGTGCACAGTAGAATCAGCTGAGAAGTTTTAAAATATAGTGGTATACACCCTAGACCAATGAAATTTGAATTTCTGGGGTAGCATGCAGTCTGTACATTTAAAAAAAGAAAAGAAGAAAAGAGCAATGAAAAGGGGAAAAAAAATCACAAATGATTCTCATACAAACCCCAAGGCTTGAAAACCATGAGGCAAATTTAAAATTATGTCTTAAATCAAAGGAATAGGTTTTTAACCATGGATTTTGGTCACTTCGAAACCTTCCACTTCTCCAAACACAGAATCTTAGCACTGAAATATAATCTCCTCCTACATCCAAATTCTGACACTGTTCCTACACCCCCAGA